GCTCCGTGATGACAGCTTGGGTGGATTGATCCCCACCTAGGATTTCTTTTAGTACAGGAAGCTTCCAGGAATTCTCAAGGTTTTTATTAAAACCAGTAAAAAAGAATAAAAATAATTAAAAGGCCAGGGTTAAAAAAAAGAGAGAAAATTATGTGTCTATAAAAAAGATTATTGGCACAAATAAATAACCAAAAATACTTTAATATATAAAAAAACACAATAATTTAAATTTCCATAACGCGTTTCGTCAGAGACTTTTTCAAATGGAATAACAAGTAATACCTGGCTTAATAATGTTATATAGGAGCATAGCTGATTTACATTTGGCGCCAAAATTGGTCCATCCAATCAGAGATAGAGACATATATAAAACTTTAAAACATAATTTAGACTTTATCAATACAATATCTGTGGTTATATGACACATTCCTGATATTTATAATGCAAAAACGAAGGTGAGAAAGTATAATTTGAGACGTTTAAAAATAATCACGTGGTATACGGCACTTCCGCATTTCGGAAGTCTGACCACAATGCCACATGGGGAGTGTAGTTTCTAATGGCCGCGATCGGTGGCCGCATGCTAAATTAAAAAATCTATAGTGCCGAGTAGGCACAGGGATGCCCATGCAGCCTAGGAGGTCTGGACCCCAGAAAAAAGAAGGCACAAATATAATTAATAGGCTGATGTATAAATTAATCGGCACTTCCGCGAACCGGAAGTAAGAGCCGAAGTGCTTGTTGGGAAATGTAGTTAGGACTAGTAATTGATGAAATATTTAAAAATAATACATAAAATGAAGTGTCAGTAATAAACTATAAAAAATAGGAGTACTAAAAGATCATACAATAAAAAATAAAATAAAATAAAGACTTTTTAAAGATACAGTAATAAAAACCTGAATACAGACATGATATTAAAAGATATTGACATAATTTTCTATTCTTAAAAAAAGGTATTAAAAACAGCATATAGAATATAGAATTAAAGGTACAAACATCTTTATATATCCATTTTCATAGAAAATTGTATAGATCAAAATCTGCATTAAGACCATGGGGTATAAGGGTCTTAAGTGTATACACCCATTCCATCTCTGTTTTACCAAGCAGCTTTTTTATATCACCTCCACGCCAGGAGGTGGAACATTTTTATACCTATACATTTTAGTAGGCGTGGATCTTTATTGTGTATAATAAAATGTTTGGATACTGTATGGTTTAAGTACCCATTTTTGATATTTCTGCAATGTTCGCTCAGCCTTATCTTTAAGCACCTTGTGGTCATCCCCACATATTGGAGGCCACATGGACACTCAAGCAGATAAATAACATTTTTCGTATTGCAACAAATAAAATCATAAATATTATACACTCTTTTTGTTTGATTAGACTTAAAATTTGTGATTTTAGATGGAGTAGAATGATCTGTGGTTTTACATACAATACATTGTTTGCATTTATAAAAACCTTTCGTCTGAGGAAAAAAGGATAGATTTTTTGGAGGAGATTGTTTAGTAAAATTTGTAGTTAAGATGGATTTAAAATTCGGTGCTCCTCTAAAAACAATGTTCGGATGGATGGGTATAATAGGATTGAGTATCTCGTCATGTTTAAGTATATGCCAGTGTTTTCGTATTATTTTTTTAACATCATTACTTTTATTGTTGAAATTAAAGATCACTGGAAGTACTATTGATTCGTCTTTATCTTTATTTTTGTACATCAGAAGTTCTTTTCTTTCTTTTTGTTTTACTGTATTAATTGTAGTAATTAAATCTGATTCTAAATATTTCTTTTCCATAAATTTGTCTTTTAAAAACTCTGCTTGCTCGTTAAAATCTGTAAGTTCTGAACAGTTTCTACGAAGACGTAGAAATTGGCTTTTAGGTGCACTCTCGAGCCAGGGTTTATAGTGGCAACTGGATTTATCTATGGCTGTATTTACACATACTTTTTTAAAAAAAGTTTTAGTTTGAAGTAGTCCCTTGTTAATAAAAATATTGAGATCTAAAAAAATTGATGGATTTTTTACTAAATTCATATGTAAGAATAATACCCCTATTATTGGTATTTAAATGGTTAATAAAATCAATAAGATGTTTTTCTGATCCATCCCAAATAAAAAAGAGGTCATCTATGTATCTAAAATAAGTGACTAGGTTTGCCCGCCATTGATGGTTTCCCCAAATGGCTTCAGATTCCCAGTCAGCCATAAACAAATTCGCGTAACTGGGGGCAAACCTAGTCCCCATAGCAGTACCTCTTCTTTGCAAATAAAATGAATCTAAAAACCAAAAATAATTGTTTTTTAAAATAATATTGATACCTTCTATTATAAAATCTATTTGGATATCAGGAATCCTAGCTTCTTGAGTTAAAATTTCTTTTATAGCTTGGCAGCCAATGTCATGAGGAATAATGGTATAAAGAGACTGTACGTCACATGTAACTAAGATAAAATTATTTTTCCAAGTAAAATCACTTAAAAATTTTAAAAGTGACATAGAGTCTTTTAAATAGGACTACTAAAATGTATAGGTATAAAAAAATGTTCCACCTCCTGGCGTGGAGGTGATATAAAAAAGCTGCTTGGTAAAACAGAGATGGAATGGGTGTATAAACTTAAGACCCTTATACCCCATGGTCTTAATGCAGATTTTGATCTATACAATTTTCTATGAAAATGGATATATAAAGATGTTTGTACCTTTAATTCTATATTCTATATGCTGTTTTTAATACCTTTTTTTAAGAATAGAAAATTATGTCAATATCTTTTAATATCATGTCTGTATTCAGGTTTTTATTACTGTATCTTTAAAAAGTCTTTATTTTATTTTATTTTTTATTGTATGATCTTTTAGTACTCCTATTTTTTATAGTTTATTACTGGCACTTCATTTTATGTATTATTTTTAAATATTTCATCAATTACTAGTCCTAACTACATTTCCCAACAAGCACTTCGGCTCTTACTTCCGGTTCGCGGAAGTGCCGATTAATTTATACATCAGCCTATTAATTATATTTGTGCCTTCTTTTTTCTGGGGTCCAGACCTCCTAGGCTGCATGGGCATCCCTGTGCCTACTCGGCACTATAGATTTTTTAATTTAGCATGCGGCCACCGATCGCGGCCATTAGAAACTACACTCCCCATGTGGCATTGCGGTCAGACTTCCGAAATGCGGAAGTGCCGTATACCACGTGATTATTTTTAAACGTCTCAAATTATACTTTCTCACCTTCGTTTTTGCATTATAAATATCAGGAATGTGTCATATAACCACAGATATTGTATTGATAAAGTCTAAATTATGTTTTAAAGTTTTATATATGTCTCTATCTCTGATTGGATGGACCAATTTTGGCGCCAAATGTAAATCAGCTATGCTCCTATATAACATTATTAAGCCAGGTATTACTTGTTATTCCATTTGAAAAAGTCTCTGACGAAACGCGTTATGGAAATTTAAATTATTGTGTTTTTTTATATATTAAAGTATTTTTGGTTATTTATTTGTGCCAATAATCTTTTTTATAGACACATAATTTTCTCTCTTTTTTTTAACCCTGGCCTTTTAATTATTTTTATTCTTTTTTACTGGTTTTAATAAAAACCTTGAGAATTCCTGGAAGCTTCCTGTACTAAAAGAAATCCTAGGTGGGGATCAATCCACCCAAGCTGTCATCACAGAGCAGGAAATCTGCTCCTGCTTTGTAAGTACATTCTTTTATTATTTTATCCATATTGCCATACAGTGAGCACTATTGGCTGTCTCTTTTATTCCGAGAATTGGACACCTATCACAGAGAGGAACCCATCCAAATCCCATAAGCGGGGATTAAACCGCTGCATGCGTCTTACCCCAGAGCTAGGACAATAGCTCTGGTAAATTGGAACCGCTACATTAAGAGAAGAACGCCATTAGCAAAGACCATTTGTAAGGATAAACATTGGGACTTTTCTTTTCCTTTACATTGGACTTCATTTTTACTTATGTGCGCAGCCTTTTTCTATTAGTTTTTTATTTATCCAGTTTTAAAGGGTCTGAGGGATCCCCTTTTAAAGGCTGCTGCCTATAAATTATCTAGCGCTGTCTCATTTCTATATTTTGTGTTACCTCCGTCAATTGTTGCTTCCTAGTAATCCTTGAGTACCATAAGCACCACACCAGACACCATAACCACCGCAAACCCCACAAACTGCCGCAGCTTGGTTGGGGTATCGCCTTCCTCCATGTATGTACGCAGTGGGCCTTGGATAGGATGACCTTTTACCAAACCTTTGCTTCCCCCCAAATAAAGACAGACACTGAATAATAATGGAAATTGTAGAAGAATGCTGGTGGTAGGGACATGAAGACGAATTTTCCAATATTAAAACTAATAAAGGAACACTATTTTAGTAGGAATACAAACATACAAATGCTATAGTGTTAGGCTATCAAAGAAGTTGTAAAAGAGATTTACTCATCTTATTTCCACTGGCCTCTGCATGGGCATCCTGACTCCACTAGCTGAGATTGTCAATACGGATTATCTCAGCTAATCCTATGCTTCCTCGTAGGGAAATATTGGGAGGCTATGGAGCATTTCCCTCAGAGAAGCAATGCGCACTCATGCACAGTGTGGAATGTCCGTCCTGGTCAGGTTACGTGTTCCAGAACCACTGCATGGAGCTTCAGTGGTTCTGGTGCCTAAAGTGTCCTGTTAAAAATATTCTATTTATTTATTTATTACAATCAATTTTCTTTAAAAACTGTAACGGCCACCCAGGTTGTAGAGGGGTGTCTGCCGTTGGAGACGTCCTTTTTCCCAGTGAGAGGCTGTGCTGCAGAGTAGTCACGATATCCCATCTGCTGGATCAATGTAGAGAGAGAAAACGAGCTCTAAAAAGCGCTAGTGATTAAACTGGAGCAGTGTCCCTTTCAATAACGAGACAGACTACGTTTTGAAGGGTTAAGCAGAACTGTTTTAATGACCACACAAGCAGTTTCTTTTATACACATTTTCCAACAAGGTTACCACCCACGTGGACCTTGTTGGATACTGAAGACATAAACACAACAGCCAATCATTTACAGGTTTACAGTTAAAACACACCCATTAATCACTGTACATTCCTCCCCTCTGCTTAGGAGATAATTGAGTTAATTGTTATATCAGCTCAATTATCTCCAAGCGAAAAAATACACTTTTTACATACTTTTTGTAACTTTAAAACCATACATACAATTTTAATAAAAGTTGCATTTCAGTAACCAGCATAATCAGGGAAACAGCATATCCAAAATTCTGCTGAATTGGACCAGTGGTTCGGGAGTTAGCTGAAAGTCTGATGTGACGGACTGCACGCACATAGCAGTTCCACAGATTCAGGCTGTGTGGTCGGTCTATTTTTCCCTTCGCATAAAGTACCATTTGCATGAACGGTTCCGTTCGTTCCTACGGTCAATGAATGCATCTTGTTTGTGAGTTTATGCTCCCGAAATAGCGCTCTGTTCGCATGATTCTAGCCGAACACACCGAAGGTAGAAGTTTCAGCGGTGTTCGTGGAAAAGGTAGCTGAAATTAGTTCCACGTGTTCGACGACCGAACTCCTGCTCTGGGTGGCCAGTCGTTCGACAGAATATTCAGGAATACGAACGGATCTTAGCCAAATACAGGTTCATTCATTTTAGGTGAATGATTTAAACAAATGGTTTTCTCTCAGCTACATGAAGCAAATACAGTGGGTATGTCAGAAAGAGGATTTGGGACAAGGTTACAGTCTGGGGTCCAGGCAATAACAGGGGTTATGTTACAAAAACCATCCAACCAATATCACACATTCAGTCACTCAATCTGGTGAGAAGATGTTTCACATTCACCTGTTTACTAGAGATAATGTTTCAAACGTTTTCTCTAGAAATAGAATTGAACTGAAACTGGTTTGTGTGTTTATTTCTGTGATAGATTTGTGATAAAGGCTTCAAAACATTCTACAGAAACCCCTTTGTTGAATCCTTATCTATTTCTAGAGAATTTTACCTGGATAACACATTATGTTACAAGTTTTGGTGTATTTTATTAAAAATGTATTAGAATATTGATTACCCGAATATGTATTTGTATAATTACCTTCACTTTAGAGTCAGAAGAGGCTGTATGATGATTGGTGCATCACAAACACGGAGCCCGGAACCACATGGCTCAGCCCAGCACTGAAATCAATATTGATTGATACTAGTGATTCACCTTTATGCAAATAAAATAAAATGTAGAGAGAGATGGGCTTGTGCAATCTGTTCCATTAATGTAACACAGTTAATGCCCTGCATATATACATTTGTTTCTGTTAAACTACCTAGGCCAAATTTCAGTTGGTGAGGTCACAAAGATAGCTGGCAGTGATGATGTTCTATTTCGCAATGATTGGAGGACACAACAACTTGTACAGTAAATAAAAAGACTTAATGGATTTTATATGACATTGACTGTGACGACAGAGCGCATAAACAATGGTGAGATCAAATTTAGACAAACAATAGAATAAATTAAATTAAGGTATATCTACAGAAAGTAATTATATATAAACTCAATATTTACATCATATCTGTAAGGCTACTTTCTGACTTTGACGACCCTGTGTATCATTCCACTACACGCAGAGAAAACCCAAGTCCACTCACCAAAAATTACAGCTGCATCAATTTAGCCACAGTCAGGCGGCCATCGCTACCATATTGATGCACCTTTGTTAATTCAGCCACGACTGAAGCAATTTTGACACAGTGTTGCTTTCAAAAGGCCACTGACAGGAGTTTACATAGTCCCAGGCCCTTCAGTCCCATTTGCATAATTTCTGATCATAAGGGGAAATAAGAACCCCCAACACAAATCTATAAAAAGTGCAGTATGGTGATACTGTCATTTAAGTTAGTGCAGAGCTTGACACAAGCTGCAACATCCATGCATTTTAAAACATTTTGGTGTCAATGTGATAATTGGTGCAGAAATTACACCAAGGCCTGGACCTATTTAAAGGACCACTATAGTGGCAGGAAAACATACTCGTTTTCCTGGCACTATAGTGCCCTGAGGGTGCATATAGGGTAAGGTATCTAGCGTGTATCTGGAGCATGTGTGTAGTGGTGCCGTGGGAGGGGTGCTGTAGTGTGTATATATATATATCAAAACAATAAATAAGGCAAGGCACTCCTCCTCCATATATACATTATATATATGCCCAGGTGCAAACCCGCGTTATATATATCAAAAAAGTGTAGTCCAGGGAGCACACTGGGTCTTGAAGTAAGTGAAGAAAAAAATACTTTAATGTATCATAAAAAATACATCAACTGTGAGGTACACACCGATCAACGTTTCGACCCTCCTGGGGTCTTTATCAAGATCACAGTGACACAATAAGTGAATAGCACTATATACAAAAATGTGAAATAAGCTTACCAATAGAGTGATGAACCAGCTGCCGGACTGAACAACCTGGAAGTGAGAGACCCACGTGCAATCATGCGTCTGACGTACGTGACAGGGGTTGCCAAGCAACCTAACCAAACAGAGTGAATACATGCGGCAGAAAGCCGAACAAAGTCCCAAACACTCCAAGTACCGAGTGTAACATTAGGAGGAACAAAGAGCACATCCAAATAGCCTCATGCAGCACAGAAGAGATTCTACACCATATGTGCAAAGTGACCTAAGTGCAGTCCTGAATAAATGTGCACAAGTAGTGAACGGACTGTATATAAAGTGATACCAAATCTGTGCATGTCATAGGCTAGATAGAAATAAAAAACATAAAACAAACATAATAATAGCATTAATCATCACTAGTACACTAAGTACAAAACTAAATTAGTATTAAAAAACACATTCCTATATCAATAATTAATAATTACATCAAAAAGCTGAGCATACAGTGTATATAATATAATACTGGAAACTGCAGGGAATGGTAAACACCTATATAGCCAACTATTATAATGTGGATAACCACCTTGTTATTATTACTGGCTGGCAACCAATTCCTCTATATACACGTAGTACATTACCACCTATGTATCAAGAAGCTAGTCAGATTACTGAATAGAAAACCAAAATAAAATAAGAAGAGCACAGTGAAGACACAAAGGGAAACCCGAAGAGAAAAACTAGCGCCAATCTGAGGGTTAGCTAGATAGTCACTCTATGTATTCACATTAGCTGAAGCCATGTACTTGCATATAGAAACCAAGGAGCATGGGAAGCTCACTGAACCAGCAATGTATTCAAAGAAACATAGAAAGAACTAAGTTCTCATTAAGTCCTTTCGGCGTCACTGTATTTAGGTGATAAATCCAATGAGCTTCACGCTGCAGAAGAAGTTTAGACCTATCTCCTCCTCTTGGTTGGATAGGTACGTGGTCAATCGCGATAAACCTTAAAGTGGGTAGATGGTGCTGCATTGCAAGAAAATGTTTTGCGACCGGTTTATCCGTTCTTTGGTCCCTAAATGCAGTAAGGATCCCCGACCGATGTCCCCTAATCCGGTCTCGCAAAGTTATATCGGTCTTAACGACATATGCAAGTCCACAAGGACATGTAATCATATATATGACATGCGAGGTCATACAAGAAATATAGTGTTTAATAGGAATTCTTTTTCCATTGTGTGGATGAACAAATGTCTGCCCAATTAGCATATGACTGCATGTGACGCAGCCACTGCATCTATAACAACCTTTTTTATGGATTTTTGGTGGTGCGGCGTAACACTGCCGAGGATCATTTTTTACCAGTAAGTCTCTCAAGTTACGATTGCGCCTATAGCTGATAGTAGGGTGTACTTTGAATCTGTCAGGAAGGTTCTGATCGCACTGAAAAATATCCCAGTGTCTATATATAGACTTTTTTATCAATGGGGTGGCTGTATTAAAGGTAAGCAGAAGAAATATATTTTTCTTTTGATTGGAATGGGGTACATCAGTTTGATTAAATTTAGTCCACGCTTTCTCTTTTGCATTCTTAAGAACGCGGGGATGGAATACTCTTGTTAGAAATCTGTCCCACACCTCTTGAAGCTGCTGATCACGTCGATTTGGGTCACTGTTGTATCTCATGACTCTTAAAAATTGTGAAATAGGTAAAAGAGTCTTTCACATGTTGTGGGTGGAAGCTTGTAGCAGCCAGCAATGTGTTGCGATCAGTGGGTTTATGGAATAATGTAAACCCTAGTTGATTGCCTTCCTTATAGATCTTGACATCCAAGAATTCGATGCTGGTACTATGCCAAGAGAGTGTCAGCACTACTGGGATGGGGAGGTCATTAATGTACTTTATCATCTCTTCGAGAGCAGTAGGTGTTCCTTCCCAGATCAAAAAGATGTCATCCACATATCTGAGGTATTTAATTATGTACTGCTGGTATTCTAGTAAGATGTATTTATGCTCAAACCAGTGCATAAACCCATTGGCATAAGCTGGTGCCATGGCTGCACCCATGGCAGTACCGGAGACTTGTAGGTAGAATTCATCTTCGAACTTAAAGTAATTACACGTTAATGCAATATCTAGCCATTCCATAAGATATGGAATAGGCGGGCTGTTGTAACTGTCATCATTTGTCAAAATTTCAGTTATAGCCTCAATTCCTTCCTTTTTCGGTATTATAGTGTAGAGGCTTTGGACATCCATTGTAGCTAAAATAATCTCTTTATCTGTAAGGTCTATCTTTTGTATCTGGCTTATGAGATGTTGTGTATCCCTTAAGCAAGTAGGGAGTTTTTTAACGCTGTTGTTAATATAGTGGTCAATATACTGAGCAATAGGCTCCAACAATCCCTCTTTAGCCGATACAATTGGACGACCTGGTGGATGTTGCAGATTCTTATGGATTTTTGGTAAGGTATACATCACTGGATGTTTCGGATTTTTGACAAACAAAAATTTAGCAGTATTTTCATTCAAATAGCGATGTAAAATTCCTTCACCAATCAGTTTCTCTATTTTCTTCTGAAATTTTGCCACCGGGTCGAAGGTGAGTTTCAAATAGGTAGATGAATCCTGTAATTGTCGAATTATTTCCTTCTTATAATCGACATATGCTTGTATTACCACAGCGCCTCCTTTGTCCGCAGGCCGTATGGTAATAGTGGAGTCTTGCATCAAACGTTCATTTTTTGAAAGGTTGTCTCTATGAGCAGGCAAAGTGGCTACAATGGAACTAACATCTTGGCGTACAGTTTGCATAAAGGTTTTAATTGATGGATTAGGAGTATATACATCTTTTTTGTAGCGGTTTGGAAACGTGCACATTTGAAGAGGTATCTTCTTTTCTTACCTCGTAGCTATATAGTGTTCTTTGTAATTTATACAGATCTATCGCCATCTCAAATTTTTTTGGCTTAGCAACGGGTATGAAAGTCAATCCCTTTTGTAAGACCGAAATATGATTATGGTCAAGGGTCTTATTAGAAAGATTAAAAATAGATATTACCTCCGTTGTCTGGGAGGTTTGCCCATGTTTCCTGTATTTCCTGTGACCCTTTTGTCCACGTCTGAGGTGTCTCTTAGGTCTCTTTTGTCTTGTCCACTGGTATTGGGCATCCGTGGTGGATCGTTTAGATGTTCGCCCTCCCTCAAAAAAGTAACTTGTTTTCTACTATGTGTATCACCCCTGCTGTCCCCTTCTGAAGCGGGTTCACCAGAGCTGATTTCTACTGTTTGTAGAGATGGTTTTCTAATCCGTGTTCTGAATTTCGGGGTAGGGTTCCGTATATTAGTATCAGACCCGCTTAGCCAGTGGTACACTTGATGAAATTTATAATCATGATTAACTTTTTCCACCTTGACTTTCTTAAAACGGATAAGTTCATTTTGGTACTTCTGAATATCATCCTGTAGTTTTACTATAAAGCAGGGCCGGACTGGGACAAAAATTCAGCCCAGGCAATTAAAGGCAGATCAGCCCACAATTAGGGGCGGGGCCAGAAAGGGGGCATGTCATGTCACCACCATTGACACGCACACCCCCTTCCCCCCCACCAAATGAGTATGTTAATGTGATGCTCCTCCAGAGCATCCAGTGCTCCTGGCTAAAATAAATGCCATGAGGTTTTTGTAGGGGGCAAGTGGGGTTGAGTTTGTGCTGCGTTTGCTGGCGATTTGTCTCTGGTGTCCTCAATAGTGGGATACCAGAGATCAAAACAGGAACCGGACTGTTAAAGAGTGTTGTGCATGTGTGGGGATGTTCATTGTGTTGTTGTATATGTTTGGACCTTGCATGTGTGTAGAACAATTGTGTGTGTGAAGGGGTCTGTTTGTGGCGTACTGCATGTGGCTAGAGGCTGTAGTGTGTGTGTCTCTGGGTTGTAAAGTATGTGTGTTTGTGTGTGTGTGTATTTATATAGGGCCTGTGGAGTGTGTGCATGTAAGGAGCTGTACTGTGTGTTTGTGAGTGTATCTAGGGGCTCTAGTGTGTGTATGCATATAGGAGCTGTAGAGCACATGTGTATAGGGGGGATACTGTATGCATAGGTGGTGTAGTGTGTACAGGGGGTGCAGAATATGTATTTATAGGCGATATAAATTAGTGTGGGTGCATGCAGGGGGTGTAATGTGTGTGTTAATAGGGGTATAACATATGAGAGTGCAGGGAGTGTAGTGTAGTGTAGGTTTATGGTGTATAGAGTGTGTTTAGTGTGTGTATGTGAGTGCCAGGGGACTAGTGTGTATATAAGGGGTATAGAGTGTGTGTAGTGTGTTTGTGTGTAAGTGCAGGAGGTGCAGTGTGGATATAGGGGTATAGAGTGTGTATTGTGTGTTAATGCAGGGGCTGTAGTGTGTATGTAGGGGTATAGAGTGTATGCAGTGTTTTTGTGGGTTAGTGCAGTGGGTGCTGTGTGTGTAGTGTGTTAGTGCAGGGGAGTAGTATGTTTGTGTTTTAGTGCAGTGTGTGTTTGTGTGTTACTGCAGTGTGTGTTTGTGCAGGGGAGCAGTATGTTTGTGTGTTAGTGCAGTGTGTGTTTGTGTGTTAGTGCAGTGTGTGTTTGTGTGTTAGTGGTGGGGAGCAGAATGTTTGTGTGTTAGTGGTGCAATGTGTGTAGTGTGTGCAGGGCCAGATTAAGAGCCCAGTGGGCCTGGTGCTGACAATTATGACGGGCCTAATTACAGAATCATATCGACCAAAAACAGTAAAACACTCCCAAGAGTCATGTATCTGATGGAGATAGTGCTGGAGAGAAAGAAAACAGCAGATAAAAGAAAACACATACCCTAAGCTACTCTCTCACTAATTTATGTTTTCATCTTTCAAGTAAATCCATAACCCTTAACAGCAGTGTCCAGTCAAGCAGGAAGTCAATGGGCACGGTAAAAGTGTGTGCCACTGACACAAATCACGTAACCTGCCAAAAGGGGAGAACATGCCCCAAAAGAGGATATGTCTGCCCAAAGAATTAGAAGGCCAGCCTGGTATGAATGCATGTCAGGCTGCCTGCCAATCATGCAGCTGGCCAACTAAGTACCCTGAGCTTGGCATAAATGCATCTAATGATGCGCTCGCTCAACGCTTTCTAAGGACTGTCCCCTAGCACTCGCTGGTCCACTTGTCCCCTTACCTTCTTACTAGCAGGCAGAAGCTCCTGGTATATAGTTTGGGACAGAGAAAAGCTGTATGTAGTGAGTGTAGAAGAAAGGGAACATGCCACAGGGTTAGATAGAACAAAGTCAGCATTACCTTAAAGGACCACTCTAGGCACCCAGACCACTTCAGCTTAATGAAGTGGTCTGGGTGCCAGGTCCCTCTAGGATTAACCCTTTTTTTTTATAAACATAGCAGTTTCAGAGAAACTGCTATGTTTATAAATGGTTTAATATAGCATCTAAAGCCTCTAGTGGCTGTCTCATTGACAGCCGCTAGAGGCGTTTGCGTGCTTCTCACTGTGAAAATCACAGTGAGAAGATGCCAGCGTCCATAGGAAAACATTATAAATGCTTTCCTATGAGACAGGCTGAATGTGTGCACAGCTCCTGCCGAAGAGGAGGATGGGAGGCGGAGAGGAGGAGGAGAGCTCCCCGCCCGGCGCTGGAAAAAAGGTAAGTTTAACCCCTTTCCTCTCCCCAGAGCCCGGCGGGAGGGGGTCCCTGAGGGTGGGGGCACCCTCAGGGCACTAAAGTGCCAGGAAAGCAAGTATGTCAGGGACACAAACATGAATTCATGACCCTATAGTGTTAACACCACCATCTAGCCCCCCCTGGGCCCCTCATGCCTCCATAAATATAGCAAAATTTTACTGTATTCAAGCCTGAAGCTGTAACTCTGCATGCTGTTAGACTCAGAAAAACAAGCAGTCTGCTGACATCATTAGAGGTGGTGGCCTAATCCAATCACAGTGCTTCCCCATAGGATTGGCTGAGACTGACAAAGAGGCAGATGAGGGGCAGAGCCAGCATGATTCAAACACAGCCCTTGCCAATCAGCATCTCCTCATAGAGATGAATTGAATCAATGAATCTCTATGAGGAAAGTTCAGTGTCTGCATGCAGAGGAAGGAGATACTGAATGTTTGGATGCATTTTAGGCAGCCATGACGCAGGAAGGATCTCTAACAGCCATCTAAGGAGTGGCCAGTGAAGTTATCACTAGGCTGTAATGTAAAGACTGCATTTTCTCTGAAAAGACAGTGTTTACAGCAAAAAGCCTGACGGTAATGATTCTACTCACCAGAACAAATTCAATAAGCTGTAGTTGTTCTGGTGACTCTAGTGTCCCTTTAACTATATTCATTGCCAGCCAGTCCACACAAGTTTTGTTCCCATACATCCCTCTTAAGTTTCCATACTTAAGAGTATGTGAAAAGTAGTTAGGGTTGCCACCTTTTTTGGAAAAACATACTGGCCTTGCTAATTTGCATAATTAAATATGTATGGGTGACATCACATGATGTAAATCACAAGGAGTGCCATAAGAGAAAATATAGATGCATTCCTCTCAGTGGCCCCATGTCTTCCAGTGCCCCCATTTGTCGAATACTCCAGGTCTCAGTGTTCCTATGCATCAGTGTCTCAGTGCCCCATGTCTCCCAGTGTCCCCTAGTGTCGTGTCCCCATGTCTCCCAGTGATCCTATGTATCACAGTGTCTCAATGCCTCATGTCTCCCTGTGTCCCCATGTATCCCAGGGTCCCAGGGCCGGACTGGGACAAAAATTCAGCCCGGGCAATTAAAGGCAGATCAGCCCACTATTAGGGGCGGGGCCAGAAAGGGGGCATGTCATGTCACCACCATTGACACGCACACCACCTTCCCCCCCACCAAATGAGTATGTTAATGTGATGCTCCTCCAGAGCATCCAGTGCTCCTGGCTAAAATAAATGCCATGAGATTTTTCTAGGGGGCAAGGGGGGTTGAGTTTGTGCTGCATTTGCTGGCGATTTGTCTCTGGTGTCCTCAATAGTGGGATACCAGAGATCAAAACAGGAACCGGACTGTTAAAGAGTGTTGTGCATGTGTGGGGATGTTCCTTGTGTTGTTGTATATGTTTGGACATTGCATGTGTGTAGAGCAATTGTGTGTGTGAAGGGGTCTGTTTGTGGCGTACTGCATGTGGCTAGGGGCTGTAGTGTTTGTGTCTCTGGGTTGTAAAGTATGTGTGTTTGTGTGTGTGTATTTATATAGGGCCTGTGGAGTGTGTGCATGTAAGGAGCTGTACTGTGTGTTTGTGAGTGTATCTAGGGGCTCTAGTGTGTTTATGCATATAGGAGCTGTAGAGCACATGTGTATAGGGGGGATAATGTATGCATAGGTGGTGTAGTGTGTACAGGGGGTGCAGAATATGTATTTATAGGCAATATAAATTAGTGTGGGTGCATGCAGGGGGTGTAATGTGTGTGTTAATAGGGGTATAACGTATGAGAGTGCAGGGAGTGTAGTGTAGTGTAGGTTTATGGTGTATAGAGTGTGTTTAGTGTGTGTATGTGAGTGCCAGGGGACTAGTGTGTATATAAGGGGTATAGAGTGTGTGTAAGTGCAGGAGGTGCAGTGTGGATATAGGGGTATAGAGTGTGTATTGTGTGTTAATGCAGGGGCTGTAGTGTGTATGTAGGGGTATAGAGTGTTTGCAGGGGTATAGAGTGTATGCAGTGTTTTTGTGGGTTAGTGCAGGGGGTGTAGTGTGTTTGTGTGTTAGTGCAGGGGGTGCTGTGTGTGTAGTGTGTTAGTGCAGGGGAGCAGTATGTTTGTGTTTTAGTGCAGTGTGTGTGTGTGTGTTACTGCAGTGTGTGTTTGTGCAGGGGAGCAGTATATTTGTGTGTTCGTGCAGTGTGTGTTTGTGTGTTAGTGGTGCAGTGTGTGTTAGTGCAGTGTGTGTGTGTGTGTGTTAGTGCAGTCTGTGTTTGTGTGCTAGTGCAGTGTGTGTGTGTGTGTTAGTGGTGCGTGTGTGTGTTAGTGCAGTGTGTGTTAGTGGTGCAGTGTGTGTTAGTGCAGTCTGTGTTTGTGTGTTAGTGCAGTGTGTGTTTGTGTGTTAGTGCAGTGTGTGTTTGTGTTAGTGGTGGGGAGCAGAATTTTGTGCGTTAGTGGTGCAATGTGTGTAGTGTGTGTTTGTGTGTTAGTGCAGTGTGTGTGTTTGTGTGTTAGTGCAGTGTGTGTGTGTTAGTGGTGCAGTGTGTGTTAGTGCAGTGTGTGTTTGTGTGTTAGTGTGTTAGTGCAGTGTGTGTTTGTGTGTTAGTGGTGGGGAGCAGTATGTTTGTGTGTTAGTGGTGCAGTGTGTGTAGTGTGTTTGTATGTGTGTAATGTGTTTGTGTGTGTATATGGCCTTAAATTATTATTATTAAAAAGTAAAAAAAATAATAATAATAATTCCATTTACTCCCCCTTTTAACTTTGCAGGGTGGGAGGGAGCATTCACATACCTGGTGGTCCAGTGAGGGGGGGCTACGCCACACACACATCCCTGGCGGTCCAGCGGCAGGTAATTCAGTCTGTACCCCGCAGGGTACAGACAAGGTCTCTCTCCCTCTCGCGAGCGCCGTTTTTTCAGAGCGCTGCCGTGGGTTACCATGGCAACGCTCTGATAATCTCGGAGCTCGCGAGAAGAGGAGAAAGGAAGCTGCTCGACGTGCGCAGAGAGTGATCGGCTCACTGCCCGATTTCCCCTCCGGCCCATGATGGGATAGAACTCCATCTTGGGGCCGGTGCTGCTGCGCATGGGCCGGTAGGGGAGATCTCTTGATCTTTTCTACCGGCCTTGGTCCATGGCCATCGCGGCCCACCGGGCATTTGCCCGGTTTGCCCGATGGCCAGTCCGGGCCTGCTATAAAGTCAGTGGATGGGATTGATTGCAGTGCAGTGACATGAGTTAATTCAAACTCCTGTTTTGATTTTTTAACTTGGAGTAATTCCTGACCAACTTCCTCAATCACTGTCACCATCCAATCCAAAAAACATTTATTTGAAATGTTCATCCACTTCTTACAGAAGTCCGGGTTCTCGGGATGTGTTTCGATCGATAATAGTCTGAAAGGAAAACTCTGCAAATCCAGGTCTACTTCTCTCTTTTTCAGCCTGGATAGATCATTATATAGATCTTTCGCTGCATAGGTATGTGGTAGATCTTGTGAACTCCGTGGCCATAACACAGATAAAGCTTTTTCATCAGTAATAGAGAGAGTTTCTGCTGTCTCTACTAATGCTCCAGCTCGATGCAAAAAATCCTCCATAATGAAAAACAATCCTGATAGCTGTAGATCACTGTTTAGATGATAAGACTTGTATTCAAAAATAAGGGGGTGCTCATGCAAGTGCCACGCTAGCACTTTACATATCTCAAAACAATAAATAAGGCAAGGCACTCCTCCTCCATATATACATTATATAAATGCCCAGGTGCAAACCCGCGTTATATATATCAAAAAAGTGTAGTCCAGGGAGCACACTGGGTCTTGAAGTTAGTGAAGAAAAAAATACTTTAATGTATCATAAAAAATACATCAACTGTGAGGTACACACCGATCAACGTTTCGACCCTCCTGGGGTCTTTATCAAGATCACAGTGACACAATAAGTGAATAGCACTATATACAAAAATGTGAAATAAGCTTACCAATAGAGTGATATATATATATATATATATATATATATATATATATATATTTGGACGTATTGTATGTGTGAGGGGTGCACTGTGTGTGTGTGTGTGTGTGTGTGTGTAAGAGGGGTGCTGTGTGTGAGGGTGTTTTTATGTGCTGTCACATTCTAGGTTTCTATTTTTTTTTTGTCTGTTAACTCACTGAGGGTTATTTTATTTATTATATATGTGTGTGTGTGCTGTATATGTGTGGGAGTGTGCTGTGTGAGTGAGCAGTGTCTCTCTGAGGGAGCAGTGTCTGTCTGAGGGTGCTGTGTGTGAATTTATTTAAATATATTTTTTATTAATATTTTTTAAAAAGTTATATCCCCCCTCCCTTCTTACCTTTAGCCTGGGAGGGGGGGGGAGCCATTCTGCCTGGGAGGGCAAAAAATCCTCCCCTGCCGGCCTCAGCCATCGCGGTCCACCGGGCATTTGCTCTGTATGCCCAATGGCCAGTCTGGGCCTGACTGGTAATGTAGAAATGAATGAGGATGATCTGTGAGTGTAGTCAGATAGTGAGAGACATTAACCCCTTAAGGACCAAACTTCTGGAATAAAAGGGAATCATGACATGTCACACATGTCATGTGTCCTTAAGGGGTTAAGGTGGAAACATACAGGTGATCTGTAGGTGTAGGCAGGAATAAAGTCAGACCCCAATAATAAGAAGCACACGCGGATGGAGAATTTAAAGGAAGGTTGTTACACACGTGCTATAAGAGACCAGGGAGACTCAATCAAGCAAAGGGGAAACCATGGTGCAATGTTTAAATAGGGAACCCTGATTAAAGGGACACTGTAGGAACTATACTTATCTAATTGAAGTGGTTATAGTCCCTGGAATCCCCTGGTGCAGTCCCTCCATGTTCTAGCAGTTTAACTCTATATAAGTGTCCCTGGCTTCCCATAGTTTTGTCCCTACTGGAGGTGTGGCTAAGAAAGATTACACACTTTGATACACCTACACCGATTCATACCTGCAATGAGCAGGGTGATAGGCTGAATGCGATCAGCTGACACTCTCAGCCAATCACAGTACGATGTGAAATGATGGTGCTTATAATGAAATATAACAGCTGAAAAAAGTCTGTGGGCACTCCAAAAAGCCACAGAACAATTAAAATATATATAAAATAAAAACCAGTGACAATGTTTAGGTGATAAGCCCTACCTAGAACACCAAGTGTGAGGGAAGTGCTCAATAAAGAGTACACTTACCCCTCATATTGAACAGTGGTTGATATATAGTAAGTATAAAACCATCAATGTGTGATATTGTACAGCAGCCGAATATAGTGCATAGCATGAGTGAAATCCAACTCACATTATTCAGAGCATTTTATGGACGTAGGCTCTAAACCTCTACTTTTAATTTTCACCATTTGGGGCAGCCTTCTTCCTGTATATTCCTCCGTCTGTGTTCGTATATCCATTGTTGCTGTTTTTCTCACCATATATTTCCTGGCACGTTTTAGTATCTGGTATACTTGTGTTTGACTAAATTTTGAAATGTCTGTCCCTTTACGGAGCAGATTTCCAACGTATATCTACTAAAGAGCGATTCGTTTGGAATGGAGTGTTCCTGTAATTTGAATTAATTTAACATGTGCACTTTCATCCTTTGCAGGCCACCAATGTGGTGGTTGTTTAGTGAATATTCCCCTCCATTTAAATTGAGACAATGTAGCGCTCCATATTATTTATTATACATTTTTCCAATAAAGCACTCTTCTCAGCTTTGTCATTTCAGGGTGTCTGCAGCTCGTTCAGATGTGGGATGTGCTGGAACAACAAATCTGATCCATGGAGGCCCCTCCTCGGAACCTGCAGGACTTTAAGGATCTCCATAGGACACGTTCAGAGGTCGTGTGGAATACATGCCTCTCTGACAGCAGGAGGGAGTCTACGGGATATTAGGCAGGTGTTATTAATGGTGTGGCTGATCAGTGTGTATGCTTTAAAACCTAGAACTGTATTGTATTAGAATGATGAATAATGATGAATATAAACTAGTTTTAGATTTTATTGATCCAGATGACATTAAACATCCATTAAAAACATGCATTTGTTTACCAGTGCTATTTATGACTCTTTCTATTAATACATTTTATCTTAATTATTCCTACAGCCTCTTCACACGTGTCTTGGGTAATCTCAACCCATATTTAACCAACTAAATAAAAGAGTGGAACACATTTTAAACATGCAGTGATAATACATGTACTTAGACTTTATTTAATGTTTCTTAGATTTTTTTTATATTAATATATTGCTAACCTGATATTTTTGATATTTTAACATTTTTGAAAAAAATATTTTAAAAGCTTATCCAAAAATATGAAATAATGTAAAAATTAGATTGAGCAATATTAAAGCGAGGCAAACATTAACTGTGAAGATATTTCATATTAACCTGCTTTGTGAAGATAAGGAGTTATTTGAAATATTTTCGTTAGAAATGTATAGGATCTTAAGAACTGGTTTCTGTGGCTTCTCTCTGTAACTGTCTCTGTATAGAAGAATAGAAACAAAGCCATTCACCTAAAACCTATCTATTTCTAACAAATTTTGCCTGAAAGGTAGTGTGATGGAAATTCCAGTAAAATAAATGTTTAGTAGGCCAAGATTGCCATGTGGCATATGTAGGTACATGTGTTTGTAGTATCAGTTAGTTAGTTACACGTAGCTAAGATACTGTCATCAATGTACTGAGCATGTGCAGGAATGCAGGAACTGGAATTACGCGCCCTTCTCCTTTGTTTCAGATGAGCCATGTGGTCAGACCTGATGGACGAGTTTAGACTCTGTTCATTGATTGGTTAAGGGTATGTGTGGGCGTAGCTAATTATGGGAGGAGCTACAGTGCTCTATAATGAATGTACTCCATGTGCTCAGTGCTCAGATCTGTTGTGGAACATTAGTCCATCTGAGACCTGATCGGTATGCAAATAAAGGCCTTCTGCACGCTTACATCTCTGGTGCATTGGCCGGGAAGCTCATAGTCACGGTAGCTGAGACAGAGACGTGAGACGGTAGATCTTTACTAACGTTCTCCATGGCAGCACCCCTGGACTTCTACGTGGACCTCCTTTCGTCTCGGCACCACTGGCCTTTTGTCCAGGAGATCATCGGCTTCTGCGCAGTGAGTACCGGGGTGCCCCGTCGATGACTGTGAAGCCCAGGTTCAAGAACGAAGAGGCAAGACTGATACCGTTAGATCCGTAGGCCCACAAGGGATTTTATATTTGGAATTGGTTGTATGGAATCTGCCCCATCCCTCTGGATGGAAGAAGCGAAGGTGCCCCGCTTTTGGAAATTAGATGCTCTGTAGTCAGCCCGTCTAATACAGGTGGTTTGGGTCAGGCTGAATTTTTGGTGTAAATAGTTCAGGCCGGACACCGGTGTCCTGTCTTGACTAGCATATTTAGGTGTAAATTTTGGTCGCTAGGTCGGGGGGGCCCAAGAGACTAAGCAGATTCTGGTGTACATTCCGTCTGCTAGATCTCAACCTATCTTGGCTAAGTGGAAGGCGTGTAAATTCAACCACTAGACTATTGATAGAGTAGATAGACTAAATGTGTTTTGTTGTACATTCCGCTCATTAGTTCACTATACGTGGCGCTTGGGCAGCGTAGACTAACCAAACCTTGGTGTAAATTGTTCGATAGTTCTCGAGGTGCTGGCCAATTAGAATAGTTGGGATTATTGTAAATAATTGTTAGATATACTGTAGTTGGTAAGCTGGTGAATTGGTTAAATTGTATGTCCTGCTAGAAAGCTTGAGCTCTGCTGTCTAGCGGGAGTGTAAATTGTGTGTATAACTGTATAATAGTGCACGGTACCATAACCACTAACATGTATTATAACTAGAAAAGCTAAAATTTCTGGGGAAATTGTGTGAAGTGTTCTTGCCTCCACTAGTGGTCTACAACTGGAGTGGGCGGAGTAACTGTTATCATTTATATAGCACATTTAATTGCAACGTTGTTGCACAGTTACATTAAACCATACATTAAAAACATTAGCAGGTGTCTATGACATCACTTGCTGCTGCAGCCTGACACAGGTCAGAGTATTTTGGCGGTTGCCATCTTCAAACGGTCGTATCTTAAAAACTATAACTCCTACAGCGAAGAGCTTTATATTGTGAGAATCACAAGACCCAGACCTACATTTTGATGCATAAAAATGAAGGCACAGTTGCAGTTTAGAAATTGCACTTCAAAGTTGAGCTTTGCAGAGTGAAGTTTCAATGAAAGTCAATGGACGGCGTTAGTTGCAAACAAATGATTATATCGTGAAAACTATCAGGACTATGGCTTAGCCGTTGACATGTTTAGTGGCAGCAGGGATAGCTGAACGTTTTGATATAAGATTTATGTAGGTGGGCCTGAAAATAAGGGAGTGGTGGCAGTTTAGAAATCATGTCCTGATTTTTCAGCTTTTGCCAGCTCCCACTCTAGCTTTGCCATTCATTCCTATGGGAAAAATTTTGCAACAAGAACGACGATATTCCGTGAACCATTTGGCGAAACGTTCCACAAAGTAATAGCAATCTGATCGGGAACAATCTGCACATTTTGGTAAATTTTTGTCTATGTAGTGTAAAAACTGTGGGAGTAGTTAGGGTGGCAAATTTGGCTATAATAAGAATAAAAACTAGAAAAGCTACAATTTCTGGGGAAATTGTGTGAAGTGTTCTTGCCTCCACCAGTAGTCTACAACTGGAGTGGGCGACGTAACTGTTATCATTTATATAACACATTTAATTGCAACGTTGTTGCACAGTTACATGAAACCATACATTTATAAAAACATTAGCAGGTGTTCAAAAGGCCCTGTCTATGACATCACTTGCTGCTGCAGCCTGACACAGGTCAGAGTATTTTGGCGGTTGCCATCTTCAAACGGTCGTATTTTGTATCAACCGTATCAAACGGTTCAAGAATTCACCCACCCTATTTGGATCCGCATTAAGCCAGGACCTGCAAGATGTCAAGTCCATCCCAGGAGAATGTGTATTACTTCATGTAACGGCTACCCAGCTGTAGAGGGGTATCTGCCGTTGGAGATGTCCTTTTCTGTGCAAGCTGCTGTGTAGTAATAGAGTCCTTGTTCCCATCCACGATATCCCAGGGTATAATCCGGCAGTACTGAAAAATGAGGCAGAGTAATGGCACCATAAATCCCCTCCAAGAACGAGACGAGGCTACGTTTTGAAGGGTCAAGTAGAACTGAGGTCTGGGAGAACCAGCCTGCTTTTTATTAGGAACAAGTACACACAGGACACTCCCAGGGGGAGGATGAAAATAACCAATTACACACAGGGTAATACCCCCACGTCTCCTCCCCTCAGATAAACACATAACATAATTATAACGTACATAAATTTACCCACATTCTGGATGTACCCCAAAAACAGGGGGTACACCTTTAAGTCCAGCACCGCTTAATAGCTACCACTCAGGGGAATAACATATTCGAATTTCAAGTCATTCGGTTGTGGGGTTCGGGAGTTATGGGTCTTTGAAGTTTTGACCGACCGCACAGGATTTTCAGCCGAAAAGAGTTCCACAAGTTCTGGCCTTGCGGTCGGTCCCCGTTCGTGAATAAAAACCCCACGAACCCCTTGCCCTCCACAGTAATCCTGCCGTTCGCCTGAATCCCCATGCATGCTTAAACAAAACTACCGAACGGCCGGTCGTTCGGTAGTTTCAGCACGAACTTACGAGCTCCTGGAGGTCTCAGCGGTGTTCGCCTGTTTGCGTATCCGTTTTTAGTTCCATGCGTTCACAGGCAAACACCGCCGTTCGTGCGTAAGATGGCCGCGAACACGTGTAAAGTCCCGAAATGGCGGCCACCTATTCTTAGACAAAGGGATTCGTCTGAACCATGCGAACGGCTCCACAATCGCTGGGAGGTAAAATAGTAATTAACTGTTCCCCTGGGTGGTCTGATGTTCGGTATTTTGGGTAGCAATAGTTATACGAACACCAGTCATTCGGTTCTGTTTAAACTCCCCAGCAGCACTGTAGATTAAGTTCAGGCAAAACAGTACCGGGTTCTGTTACACTGCTCCCCTTTTGTGGAACACTCCGGCAGACCCGGATTGATCCTTTTCGGGTCGACTTGGGGCTGTCCGGTCTTAGTCAAGGTAAAAGTTCCGTTTGCCTGGACAGTCCGTCTGCATTCCCATTAAACCGGCCAGGGCGATACTGAATGGAGAAGTTGTATGGTTGTAGTGCCAAGCTCCATCTTAGTAATCGTCCATTGTCCCCAGCCACTCGGTTCAGCCAGACTAGTGGGTTATGATCTGTGATCAGCGTGAATTCTTGGCCGTAGAGGTATGGGGTGAGCTTCTTTAGGGCCCAAACCAGGGCTAGACACTCCTTTTCCACTGCCGCGTAACTCACTTCCCGAGGTAATAGTTTCCTACTCAGGTACGCGACAGGGTGTTCCCCTCCATCTTCCCCAACCTGGCTCAGAACTGCCCCCAGTCCGTACATGGACGCATCTGTATGGACAACAAATCTTTTGTTAGGGACGGGGGCAGACAAAACCGGTGCGTTGATCAGGGCTTGCTTCAGGGTTTGGAATGCTGTTTTGCAGGCGGGAGACCACAGGACTACTCTTGGCAAATTTTTCTTGGTCAAATCGGTCAGGGGTTTGGCGATGGTGCTGTAGTCAGGGACAAATTTCCTGTAATATCCTGCTGTCCCTAAGAATGCCAGTACTTGGGTCTTGGTGTGGGGTGTGGGCCAGTTGGCTACAGCCTCTACCTTTGCGGGTTCTGGTCGCTGTTTCCCACACCCTACCCTGTGTCCCAAGTACTGTACTTCGGCCATTCCGAAATTACACTTCTCTGGTTTCAGAGTTAGGCCTGCGGCTCTAATCTGATCCAGCACAGCCTCGACATGTCTCAAATGTTCTTCCCAAGTCTCACTATAGATCGCAATGTCATCCAGGTATGCGCATGCGAATTCCTGGAAGCCATCAAGGAGGCGATCCACTAAGCGCTGAAATGTAGCTGGGGCGTTCTTCATCCCGAATGGCATGACCTTAAATTGGTACAAGCCAAATGGGGTGACAAACGCCGACTTAGGGATAGCGTCCTTGGCCAGGGGGATCTGCCAGTACCCTTTGCACAGATCGATGGTGGTCAGATAGCGTCCCCTGGCAATACGATCTAATAGTTCGTCTACCCGGGGCATGGGGTAGGCGTCTGTCACGGTCCTATCATTGAGGCGTCGATAATCGACACAGAATCTGGTCGTCCCGTCCTTTTTGGGGACTAGGACAACTGGGGAGGCCCAGGGGCTGTCGGACGGTTCTATGACTCTAAGTCTTAGCATCTCCTGAATCTCCTTCCTCATTTCCTCCTTTACAGCCTCAGGGATTCTATAGGGAGTCTGTCTAAGTGGGGTCTGTCCTGGTGTCTCCACATAATGTGTCGCTAAGGGTGTGTAACCTGGCTCCTGAGAGAATGTCAATCCTTTCTCAGCTAGCAATTGTTGGAGTTGCTCCCTTTCTGTGGGAGTTAACCGCTCCCCCAGCTGCACTGTATTAAGCAGAGTTTTAGGCTCGGAGTCTGCTAACAGATCCGGGATGGGGAGACTGTCAGGGTCTTCAGTGGCCGGGATACATATGGCCGCTATATCTTCGGGCCTTTCTTGGTACTCTTTTAACAAATTGACATGAAAGGACTTCTGGACCCTTTCATCTTGGCTACTGGCAATTACATAGGTGGTGTCACATATCTGGGCCACTACCTTGTAAGGGCCTTGCCAGGAGGTCTGTAGCTTGTTTCCCTTGACCGGTCTAAGTACCAGAACCTTCTGACCTACTTGGAACGTTCTCAGCCGGGCGCCCCGATCGTACCAGTGTTTCTGACGGCCCTGGGCTGCCTGGAGATGTTCTCGGGCCATTCTGGCTAGGTGCCCCATGCGGTCCCGCATCTCCAGTACATAAGGTACGATAGGAACGCCCTCATGCTCCATCTCTCCCTCCCAGTGCTCTCGGATGAGGTCGAGGGGGCCTCGCACTCGCCGTCCATAGAGCAGCTCGAAAGGAGAGAATCCTGTGGATTCCTGGGGCACCTCTCGATATGCAAACAAGAGGTGCGGCAAGAATCGCTCCCAGTCTCTGTATTCCGCTGTAAAGGTCCGCAGCAATTGCTTTAGGGTACCATTAAAGCGCTCACAGAGACCGTTAGTCTGGGGGTGGTACGGGGAACTGAGCAGGGTCTTGACACCACAGACCTTCCACAACTGTTGTGTTAGGTCTGCGGTGAACTGGGTCCCTCGGTCGGATAGGATTTCCTGAGGGAATCCCACTCTGGTGAATATCCCAACTAGGGCACTGGCGACAGTGTCAGCCTGGATATTTGTCAGAGCGACAGCCTCTGGGTAGCGGGTAGCATAGTCCACTACTGTAAGAATATACTTCTTACCCGAGGGACTGGGGTTAGGTAGGGGTCCCACTAGATCGACTGCCACCCGGCTAAACGGTTCCTCAATCACGGGCATGGGTGACAGTCGAGCTTTAGGGTGGTCCCCTCTCTTTCCTACTCGTTGGCATGTATCACAGGTACTGCAGTAACGCCGCACGTCCTTTGAGATCCCAGGCCAGAAAAAGGTCTGTGTGATCCTGTAGGCGGTGCGGTTACCCCCTAAGTGTCCTGCCAACGGAATGTCATGTCCAATTCGGAGAAGTTCCAACCGGTACTTTCTGGGTACCACTAGTTGGCGCTTCTGTGAAGGGATACAGCCTCTCCTCCTACCTTGTGTCAACCTGTATAATCTGTCACCTTCCCATATAAAACGTTCCCGCTCATCCCCCCCACTGTCGGCTAATTCCCGATACTTTTGGAGAGTGGGGTCCTGTCTAGTCTCCCTCCCAAACTCCTCTGGGGTGTCCCAAGCTATGGGTCTTTCTACCGTGTTAGGGCTGAGTGTCTGTTTGTGGCTTACCTGGGTCTCCCGGTCTGCTGGAGGATCGTCTTCGATACGGGTCTGTGAGCGGGTGGTCACGGGACAGGCAGCAGCAGTCGTGGGTAGATAAGCTGAAGCCAGAGGGCCAATGTCGTTGCCCAACACGACTTCAGCAGGTAAATTGTCCATGATTCCTACTGTGGTCTTTCCCGACCCGACTCCCCAATCCAAGTGTACCCGGGCAGTGGGTAAACGAAAAACAGCCCCCCCTGCGACACGGACAGCAACAGTGCGTGTAGATACATGCTCCGGTTTCACAAGATGCTTCTGCACCAAAGTGATGGTAGCGCCCGTGTCCCTTAGGCCTTGTGCCACCTGCCCATTTACACGCACCTCCTGGCGGTGATGCTGGCGGTTATCTGGGGATGCAGCTTGTATGGGGTTTGCCTCGTATAGGATGCCCAAACACTCCTCAGGGCTCCCTTCTGTTTCCAGGCAGTGAGCAGCAGAGGTGCGTGATGAAGGGGCCTCTGTGTTATTGGTTGATCGCCTCCAGTTGTTATTGGCTGATCCCAAGGGGCAATAACGAGCAATATGTCCCGTGTTGCCGCAGCGATGGCACGTAATTTTGTAAGCATCCCGGGGTTGGTTGTTAGACCCCTGAGGACGTGGGGGTCCTGGGGGTACTGGGGCCCGAAATTCTGTGCGTGCAGCGGGCGTTGGGGTGCGTGGCTCTGCCCTAGAGGTTGGTCGTGTGGACCCTTGGCTCACCTTTCTCGACTCTGCGTATTCGTCCGCTAGCCGCGCTGCCTCGATTAAGTTAGCAGGGCGACGATCTCTCACCCAATCCTGTATGTCTGCTGCCAGATCTTGGAAGAAATGTTCCATTAGGAATAGCTGTAGTACTTCCTCTCCGGTGTTGGCATTGCACCCTCGTACCCAATGTGATGCCACCCTTTGTATCTTGTTTGCCCATTCCATGTGGGAGTCTGCAGCCTTCTTTTTAGACTCCCTGAAGCGACGGCGATACGTTTCCGGGGTGACGGCATATCGGGTGAGCAGTGCAGCCTTCACCCGGCGATACTGTGCAATATCTTCCTCAGTAAGTGCCCGAAAAGCCTCATTTGCCTTTCCCGATAGCTTTCCGGCCAAAATAGTGACCCATTGGTCTAGTGGTACCTGGTGTAGGGAGCACTGCCTCTCAAAGTCAGCCAAATACCCGTCAATCTCTTCCTCACTTTCCACAAACGCTTTGAACGCAGTGAAGGGTATTTTCTGTCCTGTAGCAGCGGGTGGGGGCATATGAACTGCAGGTGCAATAGGTTGTCTAGCTCTTGCCAGTTCAAGTTCGTGCCCCCTCCTATTTTGTATCTCCGTTCTCGCTTCCCGGAACAGCTGATCTATTAGTTCCACGGATGTCGCTGGGTACATGGATAATCTCCGCTGAACAAGATTTGTAATTTCCTCCTCCTCGCTGACAAGGTTAGGTTGGTCTGCGACCTCCATGGATCGATCCATCTCGTCCAGCTCCAGTAGGTCAGCTATCAGCTCTCTCCGTGGTCGGTTGCTGGCACTCCTTCCTCTGGTTTCCAATAGATCCTTTAGTGTGGGTCTTTTCAGCTTGGCGTACTGGGATTCCATTCAGCACTTGCTTTGGGGATGAAAAGGACCATCCCACCGCTGCCACCAATGTAACGGCTACCCAGCTGTAGAGGGGTATCTGCCGTTGGAGATGTCCTTTTCTGTGCAAGCTGCTGTGTAGTAATAGAGTCCTTGTTCCCATCCACGATATCCCAGGGTATAATCCGGCAGTACTGAAAAATGAGGCAGAGTAATGGCACCATAAATCCCCTCCAAGAACGAGACGAGGCTACGTTTTGAAGGGTCAAGTAGAACTGAGGTCTGGGAGAACCAGCCTGCTTTTTATTAGGAACAAGTACACACAGGACACTCCCAGGGGGAGGATGAAAATAACCAATTACACACAGGGTAATACCCCCACGTCTCCTCCCCTCAGATAAACACATAACATAATTATAACGTACATAAATTTACCCACATTCTGGATGTACCCCAAAAACAGGGGGTACACCTTTAAGTCCAGCACCGCTTAATAGCTACCACTCAGGGGAATAACATATTCGAATTTCAAGTCATTCGGTTGTGGGGTTCGGGAGTTATGGGTCTTTGAAGTTTTGACCGACCGCACAGGATTTTCAGCCGAAAAGAGTTCCACAAGTTCTGGCCTTGCGGTCGGTCCCCGTTCGTGAATAAAAACCCCACGAACCCCTTGCCCTCCACAGTAATCCTGCCGTTCGCCTGAATCCCCATGCATGCTTAAACAAAACTACCGAACGGCCGGTCGTTCGGTAGTTTCAGCACGAACTTACGAGCTCCTGGAGGTCTCAGCGGTGTTCGCCTGTTTGCGTATCCGTTTTTAGTTCCATGCGTTCACAGGCAAACACCGCCGTTCGTGCGTAAGATGGCCGCGAACACGTGTAAAGTCCCGAAATGGCGGCCACCTATTCTTAGACAAAGGGATTCGTCTGAACCATGCGAACGGCTCCACAATCGCTGGGAGGTAAAATAGTAATTAACTGTTCCCCTGGGTGGTCTGATGTTCGGTATTTTGGGTAGCAATAGTTATACGAACACCAGTCATTCGGTTCTGTTTAAACTCCCCAGCAGCACTGTAGATTAAGTTCAGGCAAAACAGTACCGGGTTCTGTTACACTTCAGTATGTGGATGATTTGTTGATAGCGACAATTACTAAAGAGATATGCCAACAAGCAACTTATGATCTACTTCAAATTCTCTGGAAGGCAGGATACAAAGTATCTAGGAAGAAAGCACAATTGTGCCAGTCAACTGTCAAGTATTTAGGATTCCATATCTCTGAAGGTCAAAGGATAATGGGACCCGAAAGGAAAGAAGTGGTATGTCAAATACCAATACCTAAAAATAGAAGACAGGTGCGAGAATTCTTAGGAGCAGCAGGATTTTGCAGGATATGGATTCCTAATTACGCGATATTGGCGAAACCCTTATAATGAGCTATAAAAGGCATAGAACATGATCCCTTCCTATGGACTACTGAACAGCAGAAGGCATTTGAGGATTTCAAGAAAGCACTAATGAGTGCCCCAACCCTAGGTCTACCTGATCATACACGTCCATTCTATCTGTATGTACATGAGCAAAGAAGAATGGCTATGGGAGTACTAATTCAGTATTTGGGATCATGACAATGACCTGTCGCGTACATGTCCAAACAGTTGGATGCAGTGGCTAGTGGTCTTCCACCTTGGCTGCCGCTGCCCTGTTGGTAGCAGAAGCTGACAAGCTTACACTGGGACAGGAACTCTATGTGCAAGTACCTCATGCAGTACAGACTCTATTGGATTACAAAGGTAATCATTGGTTCAGTAATAGCCGAATGACTAAATATCAAGCCATGGTATGTGAAAATCCAAGAGTACACCTTGAGATTGTTAATACCCTGAATACAGCTACCCTTTTACCACAACCTACTGAAAGTCAACATGATTGTTTGGAGATAATGGATGAGGTGTTTTCAAGCCGACTGGACCTTCATGACTTTCCCATTCAGGACCCGGATGTACAGTATTATACGGATGGTAGTAGCTATGTGAAAGAAGGAATTCGCTATGCAGGATATGCGGTAACAACTATAGACAAGGTGATAGAGGCACAGCGACTGTCAAAAGGGACATCAGCACAAAAGGCAGAATTGATAGCACTGACACGGGCCTTGCAATTGGCTGAAGGTGAACATATATACTGATTCAAAATATGCATTTTTAACCACTCATGCCCATGGAGCCTTGTATAAAGAAAGAAGGTTGTTGAATTCAGAAGGGAAAGAAATCAAGTATGCAGCTGAAATTCTTTAACTATTGGAAGCAGTATGGGAGCCAAAGGAGGTCGGTATTATACATTGTAGAGCACATCTGAGAGGCGATAGTGATGTGGTAAGAGGAAATCATATGGCAGACAGTGCGGCTAAGCATGCTGCTGAATCTGGGGTACATCGCTGCCCTTGTGCCAGCCCCTTTGTCTCAATGGACTCCAATTTATACAACTCAAGAGATGGAGTGGTTGAAGACTGAGGCGGGAAAATATTTGGAGAACAATTGGTATGTTAGAAGATGGAAGAATAGTCATTCCGACATCTCTGGCTATAGAGATTGCTCAGAACTTCCACAATGGCACACATACAGGAAGAAATAGTATGGAAGAAACTCTCAGGAAACATTTCTATATACCGAGATTATCCAATCTAACTCAAGCAGTTGTTCGAAGAGGTGTTCTGTGTGCAAAGAACAACACAAGACAAGGCCCTGTTAAACCTCCTGGGGTCCAGTATATGGGAGGACTCCCCATGTCAGATCTGCAAATAGATTATACGGTAATGCCTAAATCTGGAGGATATCGTTATCTGTTGGTAGCTGTGTGTACCTACTCAGGTTGGGTAGAAGCTTGTCCAACCCATACAGAAAAAGCAGGAGAAGTTGTACTATTCATGTTGCGTGAGGTCGTACCCAGATATGGACTCCCGTGCTCTATAGGATCAGATAATGGCCCAGCCTTTATTCATCAGTGCCTACAACAACTGACTCATATGCTTGGTATTAAGTGGAAACTTCATACAGCATATAGACCTCAGAGTTCTGGGAAGGTGGAAAGGATGAACAGAACTATAAAAACCCAGTTGGCAAAAATGTGTCAAGAGACCCAGCTTAAGTGGAATGTTCTTTTGCCAATAGCTCTGTTGCGCATACATAGTACTCCAACCAGGAGAATGGGTCTGTCTCCTTTTGAAATTACGTATGGGCGTCCACCTCCTGTGGTGACATTCTGTCATCAAACTAATATGGTGACCAGGGATCATGTGACCAAGCTCATGTATGCCTTTCTTGGGGGTGGGGTAAGCTTTAACTTTTGAAATGGTAATTGAGTAATTCAATACCTTTCAGGAAAGAGGTAACCACTTCCCCCTATCTCCATTCCTCTCTGTTCCTTCTTGGCTGTGCTACTGAGCAGTCCTTTAAGCAGACATGGCCTAATTTCTATCATGGTTAACTGTGAGTGGGATCTGGTGATTTTATAAGATGTAGTTGTTATTGTTAGTTAGGTTGTTGTTGCTGTTGTTGGTGGTATAGTTAGTTAGATTGTGTGTCATTATTTGTATGTTGTTGTTGTTTTGTCTCTGAATAAATATTTGTTAAAGTAGACGGACCAGAGTTTATATGTGTATGCGTACATAATAATTTATAGATTTGGTAATACACTACACCTCCTATACTCAGTAATCTAAGGGGTGATTTGAGTCAGTTGGGTGAAGGAATTACTCGGCAGCAGGTTGTAGAGTTGGGTAGAACTATGGAGGAAGTGCAGAAATGGCTACAAGACAGGTTACCTGTGAATATATATCCACCTGTTAATTTTTACCATCCAGGAGATCAAGTGTGGATAAAAGAATGGAATAGTGTTCCATTAGGTCAAAAATGGAGAGGTCTTTATGTTGTTCTTTTGTCCACTCCAACAGCTGTAAAGGTGGCAGAAGTGACTCAGTGGATTCATCACTCTAGGGTTAAACCAGCAGCAGACTCTTGGCAAGCCATTCCAGACCCTGAAAATCTTTGTAAGATCCGGTTAAAGCGGGTGACTCAGTCGGAGTGAGTGCGAAGTATTGGGACATCGTGGTTGGAAGTATTATTTTGAGATCAGCAAGTAGGTGTTTTGACGGCCATAATAAAGCCTGACCATCTGCCTACGTGTCATAAGTCAGAGTGTCTCGAAGAGATCTCTGTGAAGGAAAGTGAGGATCAGAAGAACGCCAATCACAGTCAGGAAGCTGAGGTGCCGTCGCACAGTCGAAGAAACAAGAATGAGGATACCAGTAATAATACATTTTATTGTGTATTTATGTATTATTATACATTTTCAGGAAGGTAAGAGTACAGACATACAGAATTGTGATAGTTGCATTAAGACTACTAGGACAGGTAATCAAATATCCCAAACTCTTATTTGGCACTCACAGTATGAATGTAAGGGATCTGTATCTAAATGTAGATATTTAGATATTGATTACAGTGTGTCACCCAGCAGTAGAAGAGCCTAAATGTTTTGATCCCCAATTCCAACCCCATACAATTTGGTTGGTAATTCGGAATAGCAACTCTCAGGGGACCTTGATAAATAGGACGGTGATAAATACCATACATTTTACGGGTATTCTACTATTTGATGTATGTAAGGCGATCTTGGGTAGTGGAAAAACTTGGAATGTATGTGGTAATCTAAAGTGGGAACAAACTTATGGGTTCAATGACAAATATTTATGTCCCAGTAAAAGATCTACTGATCCTGATTGACCAAATAGTGATTTTAATTTCTGTCCATATTGGTCTTGTGTGGGGTGGGCAACCTGGGGTAAAACATTAGACCAAGATATGATTATCCAAAGGTTGCCTACCACACCATATTGTAAGTCTATGGAGTGTAATCCGGTCCATATGACCATTTCTAATCCGCAACACTTCATGGACAAGTTTGGAAATTTATTTGGGTTCCAAATATACGGAACAGGATTGGATCCTGGGGCTATTATATATGTAGGCATTGAAACTGAGACAGTAGCAACCCAGACTCATCAGGTTTTTCATTCCTTCTATGAGTATTGAGGATAAAATTCCCCATAATGTTAAGAACCTATTTGTAGATTTAGCTTTCAGTATTGCAGGTAGTCTTAAAGGACCACTATAGTGCCAGGAAAACACTCGTTTTCCTGGCACTATAGTGCCCTGAAGGTGCCCCCACCCTCAGGGTCCCTCTCCCGCCCGGCTCTGGAAGGGGGAAAGGGGTTTAAACGTACCTTTTTCCAGTGCTGGGCGGGGAGCTCTCCTCCTCCGTTCCGCCTGTCGGCTGAATGCGCACGCGCGGCAAGAGCTGCACGTGCATTCAGCCGGTCGCATAGGAAAGCATTCATAATGCTTTCCTATGGACGCTGGCGTGCTCTCACTGTGAAAATCACAGTGAGAAGCACGCAAGCGCCTCTAGTGGCTGTCAATGAGCTGCACGCGCATTCAGCCGGTCGCATAGAAAAGCATTCATAATGCTTTCCTATGGACGCTGGCGTGCTCTCACTGTGAAAATCACAGTGAGAAGCACGCAAGCGCCTCTAGTGGCTGTCATTAAGCTGAAGTGGTCTGGGTGCCTAGAGTGGTCCTTTAATGTAACTAACTGTTTTGTATGTGGAGGTACTAACATGGGAGACCAGTGGCCATGGGAAGCAAAGGAAGCATGTCCCCCTGGTTCTGAGACAGATGAACAACAGATACTTTCTCAGTCTGATCGTCAAACGAGTACTAGAGGTAAATCAGGATGGCGGTTAAAAACATCTATTATAGGTCATGTTTGTGTAGCTAGGAAAGGGATAATGTATAACACATCTGTAGGTGAGTTAACATGTTTGGGACAAAAGGCTTATAATGATAATACAAAAGATACTACTTGGTGGTCAGCTTCAAATGTCTTGGAACCTACTAATCCATTTGTCAATTACACTAATTTGAAAGAGGTATGGTTTAATTTATCTGCTACATCCAACTGGAAAGCCCCAGCAAATTTATATTGGATTTGTGATAAGAAGGCATATTCTGAGTTACCACAAGACTGGGAAGGGGCATGTGTTCTAGGTGTGCGCAAACCATCCTTCTTGTTGCCAATTGAAACAGGAGAGACCTTGGGAGTTAAGGTTTATGATGTGAATCATAAAACGAAGCGAGCATCTTTGAATATAGGTAGCTTGGAAGATGATGAGTGGCCTCCCCAATGTATTATTATTATGGACCAGTTACTTGGGCAGAAGATGGTACTTATGGATATAGAACCCCTATATATGCTTAATCGTATTATAAGACTACAGGCGGTGGTTGAGATTATCACCAATGAGACAGCACAAGCGCTCAATCTCCTAGCTAAACATAATACCCGAATGAGATCAGCCATCTATCAAAATAGTTTAACTCTGGACTATTTATTAGCAGTAGAGGGAGGTGTATGCGGGAAGTTTAATCTAAGTAACTGTTTCCTGCATATAGACGATGAAGGGCGGGCAGTGGCTGAACTTACCAGTCACATGATTAAACTTGCGCATGTACCTACTCAGATCTGGAGTGGGTATAACCCAAGTAGTTGGTTTGGAAGTTGGTATGAGCAGCTTGGAGGGATTAAGGCATTAGGAGGAGGAGTAGTATTTATTATATTCATGTGTCTCATTCTGCCCTGCTTAATTCCATTAGTGGTCAGGTCCATATGAAGTGTTATAGACAGCACTATTGAGAGGAAAACAGCTGCCCATGTAATGGCTGTCTGTAAATATGAACCTTTAGCCCAGAGAGAGCATATTCAGGATGGGGAATGCTAAAAGAATATGCCAAGGATGCTTACGAGGTCTGTTCTGGTTCATGGCTACTTGAGAGGTGTTGGCAAACTATGATTGGTGATGCATCTGGAATTATTTTAAATCAGAAGGATCAAAGGGGGGATGTGATGGAATTCCAGTAAAATAAAAGTTTAGTAGGCCAAGATTGCCACGTGGCATATGTAGGTACATGTGTTTGTAGTATCAGTTAGTTAGTTACACGTAGCTAAGATACTGTCATCAATGTACTGAGCATGTGCAGGAATGCAGGAACTGGAATTACGCGCTGTTACGATTGCCTCCGGTCTAGCCGAACGAGATTACAATCGGTAGAACGCTAAAAGTATAAAATGGTCCATAAGCTATACTACGCTAGGTTTTCCCGAATCCCTACAACACGAGTCGAGGCTGCGAGTTGAGGCTTTACTGGCACACAAGCATGGTAATTTATGCACGTCCCCAGGTCCAGGGACAGCCCCCCATGGACCCGATGGGATACAGGTACAGTACAAGTATTCGACCAATCACAGTACAGTGTATCATTTAAACTAATACCCGCCCAGCTTGGAGATAATGGGGCCAATGGTTATACAATCTGATTATCTCCAAGCGCCCAAAAGACCATGCTTTATTGCGTTCCAGCAAACAGTATAAAAATATATAACTTAGGCATTATAAAGCGAATATAGTTCATTCCATGCATCGTTCGGTAGCTCAGATCTGGAGGCATCAAGGGTACGAATTGCGCCCAGATCCCGCGAACATAACTGGAGGTTTCTGCTATAGAAAGTCTTGCTCGGTAGTTAGATTATAAGCCCTCGATGGCGGCCATGTTTTTAGGTCCGTCAATGGACAGCGGGACCTCGACTCTATACTCATGGAGTGGAGGTCGGGTACATAGTCACACGAATCCCTGCTATCTGTCTGGTTGTCCCGGCCGTTCGGGATGGGTACTTAACCTGCGGTTAACCGCAAGATAAACATTCTAATCGATGCCACACGCCAGAAAGTAGGGGGTCCCCCATTAGTGAGTCTTTCAGTAGTTTCCTTTCGGGGAATTGTATACAAATGGGGGGGTCCCTTGGGACCGTTAATTAACTTGTGGTTAACCGCAGACCGCAACGCCGGGTGGTCGGCCATTCGGTACTTCGCGGGATGACGAGGTTAAGTGGCGGCACACGCCAAGGGCTGGGTGGTCTCTCGTTCGTGCCGACGAATGAGGCTTTATAACAGTTCGTGTAATCCGTTCGCATGGACTAAAATAGGGTTTCAATAAGAAGAGGCAGAGTATAACAATATAACGGGTCTTCGTAACACGTACCCTTCTCCTTTGTTTTAGATGAGCCAAGTGGTTAGACCGGATGGACGAGTTTAGACTCTGTTCATTGATTGGTTAAGGGTATGTGTGGGTGTAGCTAATTATGGAAGGAGCTACAGTGTTATATAATGAATGTACTCAATGTGCTCAGACCTGTTGTCGAACGTTAGTCCATCTGAGACCCGATCGGTACGTGAATAAAGGCCTCTTACTTCCTGAATACCTGTGTCCATCTCTCTGTGTTCGGCTTCTGCACGCTTCCACGGTTACAATAGGGCTTTTTATATATAATTTTATCTCCGGCTGAAAATTTGTGCGTTGATGGCCATAAATCATTTGAATTGCATTAAAGCTTTCATTAACAGATATTTGATTATTTTATCTGATATTAAATCTGTAGACCCTGTCTATCCTGCTGGGGCTGGATAGTTCTTAACAAGTTTACAGATAATGCCAAGTGTGTCAAGCATGAATAATGCTATGTGCACAGACTGATCACCTGTAAGGATGCTGTCTAGAACCACGTCACCTTCACTTAGATACCTGTATGTGTTGCATGTAAGACATGCTGCATGTATGAATGAATGGAAGTGCATTCTTGTACGGAGGGCATGCTGTCTGAATGAATGGATGAATGTGTATATTCTTGTATGGAGGGCATGCTGTCTGAATTAAATAATGCATGTGTATTCTTGCATGTATCATTCCATGGATGGATAGTTATATTTTTGTATAGAGAGCACACTGTATGAATGAATGGAAGTGTATATTCTTTTATGGAGGACACACTGCATTAATAAATATAGGATACACCGAGTATAAGTATTAATGCAAAGAGGACCCACTTTCTCTGGAATACATATATTCAGAATATGTAGTGTAAAGGGCAAAGATCACATTTCTTCTAATTTGACCAGCATCTATATTGTAGTGATAAAGTCTCAGGTTGTGGTTAGAATGACATGAATTAGTGTGAAATGCTGAAATCTGAATGCGCTTTAAACTTCAGGTATGTACAGTGCCGGCGCTACCTGTTAGGCGGACTAGGCAGCCGCCTAGGGCGCCCCTTGGGAAGGGGCGCCGCCAGGAGTGCCGGCCCCCCTAATGCTGCAGCGGCCTGGGTGCTCTGTAGAGAGCCTCAGGCGGCTGCCTCTTTGCCCGGGCAAAGCGCTCTCTCCTGACATTGCCCGCGCTCAGCGCTCCATCCTGTCACTCCCTCACTGTAGCGTGGCCGAGCCCTGTATTGGTCCGCGGGTACAGGGAGCATCTGTCTCCTGCACCTGGCTGGACTAACACTGGGTGTGCACTTCCTTTTAGTCCGGCCGGGTACAGGATCATGTAGCCGCGGATCATGTAGAGCTCTGCCAGCTACAACAATGGTAGGGAAGGGGGGGTTGGAATTGACAGGGAAGGAGGGGAATTGACAGGGAAGGGGGGATTGACAGGAAGGGGAATTGACAGGAAGGGGGAATTGACTGACAGGGGGGATAAATTGACAGGGATAAATTGACAGGGGATAAATTGACAGGGGACAGGGGATAAATTGACAGGGGGGGATAAATTGACACGGGGGGGGATAAATTGACAGGGGGTGATAAATTGACAGGGAGAGTGGGGGGAAATTGAAAGGGTGGGTGGTGAATAAATTGAAAGGGGAGGAATAAATTGACAGGGAGAGTGGGGGGAATAAATTGAAAGGGTGGGTGGTGAATAAATTGACAGGGGGGTTTAAATTGAAAGGGAGGGCGGGGGGGAAAAAATTGACAGAGGGGTTTAAATTGAAAGGGAGGGGAAAGAAATTCACAGGGAGGGGAATTGACGGGGGAGGGGTGGGAGGGGGAATGAGAGTGGGGAGGGGAAAAGAGAGTGACAAGGGAGGGGGGAGAAGAGAGGGACAAGGGGGGGAGAAGAGAGTGACAAGGGAGGGAGAGGGGGGATAAGAGATTGACATCCATCACACACACACACAAAGCACCCCTTGCACACAGAAAAACACACAATGCATTACACACACACACACAAGCAATGCAACCCTTACACACAATGCATCCCTTACACACACAGAAACACACAATGCATTCCTTACACACACTCAATGCACCCCTTACAGACGCACACACTGCATCCCGTACATACACAAAGACACACCTTGCGGCCCTTACACATACAAACACAGATTCACACAATGCATTCCTTACACACATATCAGGACATCCCCTACACACTCCACCCACTGTGAACAAACTCATTGGTGGAACATGAAGGTGGACCCTGGGACCCAGACCTTGAGCTGTGTAAAGGGCCTTAAAAAATGGAGCTGCTTCCCGTTCTCCCAGAACATTGATTTTTGTGACCACAGTTACAAACAGCCTCCAGAGAGCCTGTTCTACACCAGACCATTGGAGCCAGACTGCAGCTAGAGCCCATCATCATCCTCATCTGGTTGTAAGTAGGCAATCTAGTATATTATTCGTGGCACTAATCTCTAGTCCCCAGAACCACTTCAGCTTAATGTAGTGGTTCTGGTGTCCATAGCCTGTCCCTGCAGGCCTTTTAATGTAAACACGGCGGCACTGCAGCACTGGAGTTAGTTAACATGGCAGATCATATGGGTGGGGCATTGTGATGTCACATGGGGGGGGGCGGCAAACTTTACTTTTGCCTAGGGCGGCAAAAATCCTTGCACCGGCCCTGGGTATGTATGTTTGCTTTTCCTATCCTACGTTACCGACATGTTCTGAACTTACCAGGCATTAACATTACAAATAAGAGTTTGTATGTGGATTTATGGGAGAAAGACAGGAGACACCAAAAAATCCACTTTTAACACTGCTTGATCATTTATTTTAAGTTTCATTTGATTCACATTTTTTTTATTCAGAAAATTTAAAACAGAAATCTTTCCTTCCATGTCACTTACTTTCCAGGCCAACTACTTGGTGGCTTTACCCCAGACACATGGCCACCTACCTAGTGGCTTTATCACAGAAACGTGGCCATCTATCTGGTGGCATTATACCAGACACGTGGCCACCTCCCTGGTGGCTTTATCCCAGACACGTGGCCATCTATCTGGTGGCATTATACCAGACATGTGGCCACCTCCCTGGTGGCTTTATCCCGGACACAGCACAGTCAACTCATTATGGCAGACGCTTCACTCCTCTTCAGTTGTGTTCCTTGTTGGACAGGTCGGTGTTGCTTGTAAATTGAGAAGAGGCCTGTGGGGTTGGGGAGAAAGATTAAAATGAAACTTGGTCCATGGAAATATGAGGATTCCTTTGCTGACTTAAGCTTCGATTGAATAAACTCTCTAAATGAATTAATATTGTTGGAGACATTTTCAGATGATTGATCTACAATGGAGTCACCATTAAAGTCTTTGGGAATTTGTGTAGATTAATCATCTTGAAGTTTTTAGAACAGTCTTAAACCATTTGGAAAGCTTCCTGAATCGGTATTATGTTCAGAAAATATTGTATTTCTAATTTCTTTTTTTTAAACAAAATTTGCATTGCCAGATAAAGCCTTGACATTTCTGCATATGCATTTTAATTGATTTAATATTTTTGGATAAACTTTAAAATATTTTTTTCAAAATATATATTAATATAATATATAGAAAAATACATCATATGTAAAAAAATATACCAATATACGCAAAAAAAATATCTAAATATTACAATATTGACTTTTTTTCAAAATATGAAACCCTTTTAAGACGTTTATCCAAAAATGCAGAGGGCAAGTGGAACGTGAGCCTGCTGAGTAGTTGTGACATAAAACGTGTGGCTGCTGGATGGGGCTCACACACACTTAGAATATAGGACACACGCAAAATATGGGGTAAAAAAAACTGCATTCTATACTCCAAAACCATGTAGAATAAAACCACAATTTGTATTTTTCACTTATCCGTTCATCTTTATAGAAAGGATTTGTGAATGAAAAGCTTTAGACAGTATAACAGTGTCCTTTATCTTGCAATCTTTTGTAAGGACCTTGAAGGTATTACTAGCAGCATGGCTTAGTGCAAATTGCAACTAAAGGCCTGTTGCAATTTTTACATAATGCCCATGTACAGTAATTACAGTTCAATCATATATTTCTAAAATACAGGTATTTAAACAGGGTTATAGCAATCTCTGGACTGCTAGTGTAATCCTCACAGTAAAATGTATTTAATTCACTCTCCCAGACTGTAGGTATGGTATGACCCACTGAAACTTCCAGTAATGTTTAGAAGGAGGGTTTAGCTGACACAGCTGCAGACATTAAATGAGTGACTCTTGGCAAAAAATAAATAAATATATACATGTTAATATCCCGTCATGTGTACCTGGCATTTGTAGACCATAAACAAGGCAACAATATACAATGTCAGTAAACACATAAATCCCCATATGGTGCTATGGTTACAAGCCTAGAGTCCTTTAAGAGATCCCTCTCTACATACCTCAAAACAGAATGCACCCGTCATGGATGATTATATATTTCCTACCTGTTCTATGGTAAATTTTGTATTTATTGTGTATTAATATTGTTTTTGTATTTTATTGTACCCTAATGTAACAATGCAATGATTTGTGGACCCAGGAAACGAGAGAAATCTCAATGTATTTTTTCTGGTAAAATATTTTATAAAATAAAGTGGTGACCGTATATTCATGTGTTTTATTATCCCGCGTAGTGCTTGCTTATCACTGTTTCTAGATTGCATGGAACTCACCATAATTATAGTGAGGGAGATTGATACATCTTGTAATAAGGAATACCCACCTGCTGAATTTCACGCATTGCGAGTCGGATTGACCTGTAGAGATGTGGGTGCCGGCGAGATTCCTCAGCCAGTGGTCTCATGAAATCCTCGTGTGAGGAATAATCTGAATGCAGTGGGCTAGATTCGCTCTGTGACCCTCGTGGAGAAGGTGCATTCTCATCCCCTAGTGACAATGTCCTAGTAAGAAATTTCAACTCTTCAGTGTCTGGCTTCCACTTGCTAACCTTTAAAAAAAAAAAAAATCTGCTGAAACACAGGTAATGACTAATAGAATATATTTTCACTACTTAACAGAGCACGACTGACCAGCATTGGGCACAAGTTTCTAACAGTCTAATGTTAACATGCTTAAAAATGAAATCTATAATAATTTAACTCTACACCAAACTTCTATAAAACTGTATTATAGGGACGTGGACTAGATTTAGTTAGTATACATGACTAGAATAGATTTCTAGCAATATTTCTATTTGCTCTAACTCCCCCTATTCACCGGCACCTTGCTTTGTCTAGGGCACGGCTTCCCAAACCTTTTGGGCCGACACCCACTTTTCAAAACTGTAATTTTTCGAGACCCACTTGCTTTAAATGCATATTTTAAAACACCATGAACACCATGGCAACCAGCTTTAGAGGCACACAATTGGCACACCGTGGCAATCAGTTTTAGAGGCACCCAATTGGCACACCATAGCAATCCGCTTTAGATGCACCCAATTGGCACACCATAGCAATCTGCTTTAGATGCATACAACTGGCACACCATAGCAATCCGCTTTAGATGCACCCAATTGGCACACCATAGCAATCCGCTTTAGATGCACCCAATTGGCACACCATAGCAATCCGCTTTAGATGCACCCAACTGGCACACCATAGCAATCCGCTTTAGATGCATACAACTGGCACACCGTGGCAATCAGTTTTAGAGGCATAAAAATGGCACACTATGGCAATCGGTTTTAGAGGCTTACACTTGGCACACCATGGCAACCAGTAAAGGGGTTACATTGAGGGGGCAGGGAGTGAAGGGGTTACAGAGGGGCAGGGAGTGAAGGGGTTACAGGGCGGCAGGGAGTGAAGGGGTAACAGGGGGGCAGGGAGTGAAGGGGTAACAGGGGGGCAGGGAGTGAAGAGGGGAGGGTAGGGTCTGTGCCCCACCTTTTAATAAATTCCCTAGTGGTCCTGTGGTTCTCCAGTCTAAGCTCTGCCGGGTGCAGAGCTGCAGACAGTATAATAAAAGTCTTGCGAGCTCCTAGAGTGTTGCCATGGAAACGCTCTGGGTGCTCGTGAGACTTCTATCACACGGTCTGCAGCTCTGCACCCGGCGGAGCTTAGACTGGAGAACTACAGGACCACTAGGGAATTTATTAAAAGGTACTGGGCAGACTGACTGGAGGGAGCCCGGCGGCATACAGGGCAAGCCGCCGGGCTCCCTCCTGGTGTCAGTCTGCCTGCCTAACGAGCTGGTGGCCCTGGATGTGTGGGTCAGCGTGCACCAGTGGGTCGCAACCCACAATTTGGGAACCGCTGGTCTAGGATTTAGCTGAATTTTTTATTGCTTTTAGATTAAATTGACTTTGGACAGAATGGATGAGGTTTTTGTTAAGACACCTGTGGCGAAACCGACCTCGCCACTGGGCATTGGAGAAGACTGATTGCCAGCCTCCTGCCATGTGACTATGGCCCCTGGGATGTATTGCCCTTTAAATACATGAGTTGAGCATAATGGATTTGTGTTGTGCTGCTGCTGGCCCTTTAAGAACCATCTAGGGACATACTGTGGAGTTACTGGGTGGCCACCATTTCCTGTATCAGATGCACATGGTGAGAACAATGGATGAAGCACATGGTGAGAACAATGGATGGCGGCCATTTTAACTCACAGACACTGTTTGGACTTTTCAACACGGTGCCATCTCGCCAGTATTTGGTGCACAGAGACATCGTGCAGTGGTTTTGGACTATACAACAGGGGACACCTTATACAGTAATTGTTTTTCATATAGCCTGCATATGTTCTGTAAAATCTGCATTAAACTGTATCTTCCAAAATACTGAACGGATCTGGGTGAATTTTGGATATGTGGTTCACCCATATCCCCCGGTTCCAAGGATACTTTTTATGGGGTTATTGCATGTTTTGGGGTCCCTGTGATGTGTTTTATGAAACTGTATTTCTCTGTGATAATTAGATTACCCATTGTGTAAGGTAATTGTATCACAGGCAGAGGGGAGGATTTTGTGTGGGAGTGTCTGAGTGTATTGTACGTGTTATTGGTTGTTCTGTAAAACCCTGTGGGCAGCACTAAATTTGTGGATTGGGAATAAAAGAGGCTGTATGTGCCAGTCCAGAGAGTTCCTGCTTAACCCTCAAAGTGAAGTGTCGTCTCATTATTGGGGGAGGGTTTATTGTATGCTGTTCCAGTTTGACTGCTAGGAGAGTAAACCTATTCGTATGGTTCCTATTCAACTGTCTCCAGCATTCATATGCTTGCGAGCATTCATATGCTCCTACGGTTCGGTGGTTTCGGTGTCTGCTGCAGTGCTTGGAGTCCTCAGGAGCATCCTTCAACTGAGGTACCCAGTCGGGGTGCCAGGTGATCCGTTACATTGGTGGCAAGCGGTGGGATGGCGTCCTAGTGCGAGGTAAAGCAGCTCAGAGACACCATTCGTGGAGTTACAAATTGAGGGCAACGCTAGCACACGTGCAGCGCCCCTGGGAGCAGAGGTATCCAGCGACTTGGAGCAGACAAGTATGGAAGGCTCTGGCGATGATTGGATGGCCGAGGTGAGGCAACGAGTGGCCCAGTATGGGGATGATCTACCCATGGAGGTACGTCGGGTGATCTGGAACCAGGTTACGGCCGAGCGAAACACAAGGCTATCCTGAGAATTCCGGCTGGCGAAAGAGAGAGAGTATGCTCAGCGGAAGGAGTGTTACAGCAGCCGAGTAGAGGCTGCAACCGAGGAGGCTAGCCATCTCCCCCTGAGGCGGCCAGAGGAACCTGAAGTAGGGGTCCTCATAGACTGGTCCTGTGAGGAAACACAACAGGCAGGTGGAGATGGGACCGAGGTCTCTCCACTGGGATGCTGGGCAGCCAGCCCAGATCCCCAGCAGCAGCCGGAGTTGCGAGGTGCGGAAGCAGGTGGTCCTTACTCGCAAATGTTGAGAGACTTCACAGACTGGTCCTGGGAAGACCCACAGATGGCAGGTGGAGATGGGACGGTGGTCTCTCTACCGGCCCTACAGGGATGCTGGGCAGTCGGCCCAGACCCCCATCGGCAGTGTGAAGTGCAGGGAGTGGAGAGCATCGTCTCCCCTCCCCAGCGGCAGTGTACCTTGCAGGAAGAGGAGAGTAGCGTCCTTCCTCCCCAGCAGCAGGGTGAGCTACAGGGATGCTGGGCGGTCAGCCCAGAATCCCCAGCGGCAGATTGATTTGCAGGAAATAGAGAGCCGTGTCTCCTTTCCCCAGCGTCAGTGTGAAGTGCAGGGAGTGAAGAGCAGCGTCCTCCCTCCCCAGTGGCAAGGTGAGCTACAGGGATGCTGGGCGGTCGGCTCAGATACCCAGCGGCACTGTGATTTGCAGGGAATAGAGAGCAGTGTCTCCTTTCCCCAGCGGCTGAAAGTGTGTAAGGGAGAGAAGCTTGTTACCCCCTCTCCCCAGCGGCAGCTTAGCCCACCAAGGGGAGACACTAAGTTCCCCACCGGCGCAGATGGGACCATGGTCTCTGCACCCAAGCTACAGGGAGTATGGACAGTCGGTCCTGCTCCCCAGTGGCAGAGTATTCTACCAGGAGGGGGGAGTCTCGTTCCCCCTCCCCAGCGGCAGCCTAGCCCACCAAGGGGAGATGATAAGCCCCACACCGGTGCAGATGGGACCATGGTCTCTGTGCCCAAACCACAGGGTGTAGGGACAGTCGGTCCTGTCCCCCTGCAGCAGGGCTGTTTATCCAAAGGGGAGACAGCCTGTCTTCCCCTCCAGCAGCAGACCCAGGTCTGGAGTGAGGAGCTTACTACGCCGTTCCATCACCTGGGCTCCAACCAGGCTACTCCCGTGGTAGCGCTGGCACCAGGGCAGAGTACCGCTGGTCTCTGCCCACCCAGCAACCCATCGATCCAGTGTGCTAGTACCCCCCAGAGCCAAGGTCGAGCTCCTGGACCTGGACAAGCGATCCACTACTCCAGGTGTAGTAACCAATTTTCGTGGGTGGGTTATACTGCGGATTCTCTTTTGTGGGTGGGTTGCTGGACTAACCAAGGCACTGACCGACAGGAGGTCAGATACCTTGTTAGTCTTTTTGGGAAAGGGGAGAAATGTGGCGAAACCGACCTCGTCACTGGGCATTGGAGAAGACTGATTGCCAGCCTCCTGCCATGTGACTATGGCCCCTGGGATGTATTGCCCTTTAAATACATGATTTGGGCATAATGGATTTGTGTTGTGCTGCTGCTGGCCCTTTAAGAACCATCTGGGGACATACTGTGGAGTTACTGGGTGGCCACCATTTCCTGTATCAGAGGCACATGGTGAGAACAATGGATGAAGCACATGGTGAGAACAATGGATGGCGGCCATTTTAACTCACAGACACTGTTTGGACTTTTCAACACGGTGCCATCTCGCCAGTATTTGGTGCACAGAGCCATCGTGCAGTGGTTTTGGACTATACAACAGGGGACACCTTATACAGTAATTGTTTTTCATATAGCCTGCATATGTTCTGTAAAATCTGCATTAAACTGTATCTTCCAAAGTACTGAACGGATCTGGGTGAATTTTGGATATGTGGTTCACCCAGATCCCCCGGTTCCAATGATATATATTTTAATGGGGTTATTGCATGTTTTGCGGTCCCTGTGATGTGTTTTATGAAACTGTATTTCTCTGTCTGTGATAATTAGATTACCCATTGTGTAAGGTAATTGTATCACAGGCAGAGGGGATGATTTTGTGTGGGAGTGTCTGTGAGTATTGTACGTGTTATTGGTTGTTCTGTAAAACCCTGTGGGCAGCACTAAGTTTGTGGAAAAGAGGCTGTATGTGTCAGTCCAGAGAGTTCCTGCTTAACCCTCAAAGTGAAGTGTCGTCTCATTATTGGGGGAGGATTTATTGTATGCTGTTCCAGTTTGACTGCTAGGAGTGTAAACCTATTCGCATGGTTTCTCCTATTCAGCTGTATACAACATTCATATGCTTGAGAGCATTCATATGCTCCTACGGTTCGGTGGTTTTGATGTCTGCTGTAGTGCTTGGAGTCTTCAAGAAGTGCTAGGAGCATTCTTCAACGGAGGTACCCAGTCAGGGTGCCAGGTGATTTGTTACAACACCCCTGGCATACTGGAGTGAAATCACTGTTTAGTTAAACTTCCCCTTTCGCAATACTGCAAGCTCCATTCGTATATACTCCAACTGTACGAACTGCAATCAGGGGAATGCACCAATCTCCCAAACGGGACCCGTACGGGTACTCCAACTCCCAAAAGGTAAACCCACGAATCGCTGCTAACAGCCGAACCAATATATCTTCCAAGCGGCTTACGCTTTCAGCAATCAGTTGCTATCCGTGTGTAGTAAATCCCCCCCAATAACGAGACCAAGCTCCGCATTGTGGGTAAAACAAGAACTGGGTTAACTGTGGGCTACCCGCCCGTATTTATGCAGGTCTCCCACTTGGTGGACACTCCCCTAGGGGACCAAATGGGAGACTGTAATGGCAGACAGACACATGGCACTTTCAGACATACAGGCACAAAATATTCCCAAAATGCATCCTGGTTTCCTCCCCTTTGCCCTGGAGATAATTGAGAAGTAATTCAATTATCTCGCAGGACAGCGGCAAATCGCCATTTTAAGTAACACAGGCAAAACACATAAAAATAAATAATTACACAACTACCGAACATATTATATTTGTGTAACACATCCCCAGATAGCCTGGATCTGAGTGCATATTCTTAGCGAATAGCGCTCAGATCCCGTACGCACAGTTCAATCGCCAGGGAGTCAAAGTCTTTTACAGTCTTCTGGTATGCGATTGACTCCATGGGAAGGCTATCTGGCTTCAGTTCATTCGTATAATCCAAACTCCCGAACGGCCGGTGTTCGCATGCCTTGTCGACTGAGAAGGGCGGTCTGTGGTTTCAGCAGTGTTCGGCGGAAAAAATGTCAGTTTTTAGTTCCATAGAATCTGCGCTGAACACCGCTGGTCTTTCGCATGGTTTAAAATGGCCACCGCCTCGTGGTCGACATACGAACGACAACTACAGAGGTGTCTGTGGTTAACCACAACGTTTTAATTATGATCACTTGCAAAAACAGAATATTCAAGGATATAATCTTTCAATGTAGGGTAATAACTGCTTGATCCAAGGATAAATCTGACTGCCATTCTGGGGTCAAGAAGGAATTTTTTTCCTAGCTTGTTGCAAAATTGTGCTTCAAACTGGGGATTTTTGCCTTCTTTTGGATCAACAGCAAAAAACAAATGTGAAGTAGGCTGAACTTGATGGACGCAAGTCTCTTTTCAGCTATGTAACTATGTAAGAGGTTAACCAGCAGCACACTTCTCTTCTGGGTGGCCGTCCGTTCGGTAAGTTCATTCAGTAAAGAGTCAAACAGACGAATAAGGGTATATGGACAGGCAATTCCACGAATGGGAGGCAAACTAGACGAACCAGCAATATTAGTCTTACAGATGAATCTGTCACAGTTTTTTTTAGCAAGCAGAGACACTCCAATTCACCCAGGAGGAAGCCAAGGGGATAGTGTGGTAATAAACCAGCTTGAAAGTGCCACATTACCTTTCCTCCAAGGATGTGTATTTTAAATTAACGTCTATATAAAAAACAAAAAACAACAACAAAAACAAACCAAAACAGTGTGACAGACCCATCTGACTTTAAACTACTTTTATTTCTCCTTTGTTCGCCTGTTTGTTCGGCTATTTCCCTGTCCGTACGGTCCCTACACTTATTGCCTATTTCACCGAAAGAACTGCCAAACGGCCGGCCACCCAGCACGGAAGTGTGCTGCTTGTTAACCTCTTGGCCTCATTAGAATGTTGTGGTTAATCACAGACACTTCCTAATTGTTGAATGTCGGCTGGGTTGTCATCGATCGTGTCCGTCGACGATTTTGTGGAACTAAAAACTGACACTATTTTCTCACGAACACCGCTGAAGCCGCCGACCTCCCCTCTTCTATTCTTCAGTTCATACGAACGCCGTATCGTTCAGTACTTTTCCCCTACGAATGGAGTCACCCCAGATAGCCATCCCATAGAGCCCATTCATATAACGAAAGACTATGTGAAAGACTTTGACTCCATGGTGATTGAACTGTGTGGGATCTTAGCGCTATTCGGTAATATTGTGCGCTTGGATCCAAGCTATCTGGGGATATAATGCCTATGGGGGTTATATTCAGAAGTTTGTAAACTGTAGATTTTTATGCATTTTTCTCTATATTTCTAAAATGGAGTTTATCCTCTATCCTCGGAGATAATGGATTTACTTCCCAATTATCTCCAGGATAGAGAGGAGGGTCCACAGTATCCAAAGTGGAGTGTTTATCTATGTACTGCTCTGATTGGTAACTGTACTATTTTGTCCCAGTTTTCCACCAGGTCCCCTAGGGGAGTGCCCACCTGGTGGAAGACCTGCATAAAAGGCTGACAGGTAGCCCAGATTAAACAGATTCCTGCTTTACCCTCAATACAGAGCCTCGTCTCGTACATGGGGGGATTATTTGTATTGTTTTCCTGTTCGGCTGTTTGGAGTGTGGAGTATTCGTATGTTTGCTTGTTCGGCTGATTGGAGTGTTCGGTAGCTGCCTTTACATTCGGGAAGGGAATATCCTGAACAGCTTTAACCCCTTTTATACCTGGGGTGCCGTTACAAACAGATTGACTTACATTTACATAGCTTATTTCTCGCAGATTACTGAAAGGCAAGAAGGATCCCTTGTGGGTTCAGGATACTTAAAATACCCACTATTAGGCGGGCAAATGCCACACTTGTGTTCTTAATAAAGCATCCCTTGATTTAATTCTCATCATTATTAAAGGGACCCTATAGTCACAAGAACAACTATAGCTTAATGTAGTTCTTCTGGTGAGTATAATCATTGCCTTCAGGCATTTTAACCCCTTAATGACGGGTGACGGACGGGGTCCGTCATCCTTGGGAGACCCTTAACTACGGGTGACAGACCTTGCCCATCATGCGTTAAAATTAACCCCAGACCGCCGCGATTGTAGCTGCCCCTGCAGCAGTGATCTGTCAGAGAGAACACATGTGCTGCAGGGACTCAAGATCCGCCTCCCTGCTCTTCCGGGTTCAGTGTAACGTGCAGGGAGACGGATTAGTAATGATCTGCTTCCCTGTGTAAAAAAAAAAAAAAAAAGGTTTAATTAAGTTAATTAAGTTAATTAAATAAGTTTAATCCCACCCGGTTTACCCATTTTAAATAAAAATTAACCCCTTCCCTGCCAACTGATCACGGACTACAGTGATCAATTGGGAGAGTATACATTTTACTGTGATCTGATTTTTTTTTAATTAATTTAAAAATATTAAAATGGTATGTTTAGCTAGCTGGGGTGGGAGGAAATTAGTGGGGAATTGGGTGTTAGGCTAGCTAGGTGTTAACGTTAAAAAAAAAAAAAAGTTTAAAAAAGTGTTTTAATAACAATAGCAGATCAGTTAATACCCCCCTCCCTTCTTACCATATGTAGGGAGGACCGACCATGCTGCTGCCATCCATGGTGGTCTGCCGGGCTAGAGTTCACTGCAGCGGCAACGCTCAGCTCTCGCGAGAGGAACCCCGCAGAGCTGCTGGATAGAGCTCCTCGGGTCCTCTCCTGCCTCCCTTCATGCTGCTGTGGGCCGGTGATGTAGATCTTTGATCTCCTCACCAGCCAATGGAGGCTTAGAGCAGAGTCGGCGTTCGGATAGCGCCGGCTCTGCATTAGCCGACGGGGAGATCCCGAGATCTCCCCTGCCGGTCTCAATCCATAGGTGTGCCGCAGGGATTAGGGTGTGTCCACCCTGTGTGCACGCCTATGGTTAGGGGTTAACAGTAAAAAAAAAGCTTAGAAAAATTTTAAATCTGTAAACAGTTTTAAGAAAGTCTAGGAAAGTTTAAAAAAATGAATAAGCAAAAAAATAGTTTAAAAACTAGTTTTAAAAAGTAAAAAAAGTTTAAGAAAGTAAAAAATACATTTAAAAATGCTCATTACCACCACACCTGAAACAAACTAGAGAAAAAAATATCCAACGCTAAGGTTCAAATTATGCCTTTTGAATTACCCCAGGTGGGGAAGTTTCAATAACCAAGCATCTAAACTACTCCAAAATAGAACACGGACACAGCGTAAAACTTCAAAGTTAGAAAAAAAACTAAATGGCTGTGTCTTAAATGTGCCCTTCAACATTGGAGCCATCTTTGATGTGGGCGAAGGTAAGTTTCCTATAAAAATCCGGACCCCAGCGGCCGGCGTTTCTAAGACTGGGGACCGGAACGGATGGAGACAGGCAGCTGCCCGCTGGGACCAAGGTCAGTCAGAAATATCTCTGTCGGCATGGCTGCTTAGTTTTTGTGCAGCCACACCGGCAGAGGGGCCGGAAGAGGAGCCAGAAGCCGTAACAGTCCTGTCGTCCAGCGTCTCCACGCACTGCATGGGGATGCTGATTTTTTTTCTCTTTGAGATGCATTGATTCAATGCATCTCTATGAGGAGGTGCTGATTGGCGTCTGGCCGCCCCCTTGTTGATGAACCTGCAATTCTGATGTCACCAAAGGGGCGGGGCCACTGCTGGTGGACCCACGCGGCACTGGAAGGGGGCTTAGTGGGGGGGCAAGCCGTCTAAAATGTGGGTTTAGCACTATAGGGTCAGGAGTACATGTTTGAGTTCCTGATTCTATAGTGTTCCTTTAACCCCTTAAGGACCACACTTCTGGAATAAAAGGCAATGATGACAAGTCACACGTTATGTGCCCTTAAGGGGTTAAAGATATGAAATCTGATCCGGTGGAAGTCAATAAAAAGATTCTTCATCTGGAAACTGAGCATGCATTTTTATTATCATCGAATGGGCTTAAAAGGATACTATAAGTGCCAGGAATACAAAACTGTATTTGTGGCACTATAGCTCCCTCTGCCTCCCCCTCCCTCATGTCACCTCCCACATGTTAATAAAGGGTTAAAAATCCTTTATTTACTTATCTTATCCAAGCACCGATTTACCTTGGCGCTGGGTCGATGCTCTGCCCCTTCTGAGGGCCCGCGATGAGCGGCTGCTAATGTGCATTGAACCAATGCTTTCCTATGGGGAACAATTTGACACTGAATGTCCTCATGCAGAGTGTGAGGACTCTCCAGCATCAGATACCTGACCAAAGGTCCGTTTTAATGCAGGAAGCCCTCTAGTGGCTGTGTGGTAGAGGCAGACTTAGTGCTGCAATGTAAACATTGCACCACTACGTGCAAAAGGGACACTCTACCCAGACCACTTTAATTAGCTGAAGTGGTCTGGGTGATTACAGGGTCCCTTTAAGCTACAACAAAAAGGAAGAATTGTTGAAATCTAGGAATGAACTCACTAAATTTAAGAAGCAGACATCTGAAAGGGTCCAGCAGGACTATCAGGACCATTGGGTCTATATGAAAAAATAAAAATTGCACATCTCACACGAAACGTAGAGAATAGCTACCTGGAAAGACAACAGGATCAATAATAAACGTATGGAGGAACGTTGGTCCGTGGTAAAGTAAAGGATAATAAATATCCTTAAAAAATACAAGCTTTATTATAAATTAGCCAATTAACACAGTACCAGCGACCTACCATCAACAAATAAGTAGCAAGAAACAAGGAGAGGTGGTAAACCTGTTAATAAATTCAAAGTTAATAAAGAGTAGATACAAAAAGACAGTAGTAGAATTGAATATAGACAGCCTCTCTCCCTTGTAATCTAACTAGATAGGCATAAGGAGAAAAAAAAGTGAGTAGAAAAAAAATGACTAAATTAAGTCATGAATAACAAGTAGAAAAATAACCAATAGTATAAAAAACAACATGAAGTGAATCAAGCACCCATAGCTGAGAACAACCTGACACGCGTTTCGGTGCTAACCTACTTGCACCTTCGTCAGGGTAATTACATGGGAGAGAGGCTGTCTATATTCAATTCTACTACCGTCCTTTTGTATCTACTCTTTATTTATTAACTTTGAATTTATAAACAGGTTTACCACCTCTCCTTGTTTTTTGTTACTTATTTGTTGATGGTAGATCGCTGGTACGGAGTTCGTTGGCTAATTTATAGAAAAGCTTTTTTTAAGGATAATTATTATCCGTTACTTCATCACGGACCAAAGTTCCTCCATACATTTCTATAACGGTACCATAAGATATGGTGCACCAGTGTGATATCCCCCAATAACTAGCTGCTCCAGAGTGATCTCTCCTAATAACCAGCTCCAGTGTGATAACTACCAATAACCAGCTTCTCCAGTGTGATAATCCCGCAATAACAAGCTTCTCCAGGGTAAACTTCTAAGACATTGTACATTGTAATATATTAATTCTATTTTTTTATTATTATTATTTATAAGAAGAACCGTTTCTTAAACTGTATACCGAATAAGTAATAATTATTGTCCTGCAGATAGTATACTATAAAGCCAGTACCTTGTTACAGGGCCCACCCAGCATTTCACCGTATGGCTGGATGCCAGTCTGTTGATGATATTGCACTAACGCATTCAGGGTACTGTGAGCGATGTTCTCTCCTATGATGACATAACAGCCATTAGACTGCACGTCTATCATATAATGTCTGCAGTGAGACTGTCCCCTGAAAGAGAGAGAGACACAACTACATGTGAAAGATATTACGTAATGTCTGCAAACAGACTGTCCACTGAGACACACATACAACTGGTAACAAACACACAATGTCTGCAAAGAGACTGTCACAGACAAAGTGTCCCCTGACATAAAATCTTTCAGAGTGAGGATTGATCAAACAAACTGCCAAATCACAAATTGTTAGCAATAAGAACACCTGCAGACAGACACAAAATTCCAGAAACTGCAGTAAAAACTGCTAAGTTACGTAATACCTGCAGAGACACACAAATGATCACACACTGTCTAACACAGTATGAACCACTAACGTACTTAATACCAGCAGACAGACAACTAATCACACACACTGTCTAACGCAGTAAGAATTGCTAAATTATTAACACCAGCAGAGAGACACAACTGATCACACAGAATTTTTATTTGGCCACACACAACGTTTATGCACTGACCCCTAGCACGGGGTCTCAATAGCAAAATTACAAGGTTTTTCCCCCCCAGGACCCTCTATGTCTAAGAGATAATGGAGTCATAAAGCTATAATTCAATTATCTCTCAGTTACAGGAAAATATATAAAATATTATACAATCCCCTAAAAGTACCCCCAATATGAACAGGAACCCCACAATAGTTATATCCCCGGATAGCCCTGGTCTGGCCACCCAACTTGGCTAAACAGCACTCAGATCCGTTCAGTAGAATGGAATCACCATCGGGGTGAAGTTCTGACTGGCCGTCCACGAGGTGAAAGCCGAAAACCGTTCCAAAGGAATAGGTGTCCCAGCCGGTATCAGTTTGTGGGTTCCTGTGCGAACACCGTATTCCTTTAGTTTCAGGGAGTGAATGTTAACAAATTTAAACCTATTTAGTTTAGAAAAACGTTGCCTGAGATGGGATATGATAACATTATACAAATATATTCGGGGCCAATACAAACCATTGCATTCACAAACCGGACTTTACATAGGACACGAGGTCATGTGTTGAGACTGGAAGAAAGAAGATTTCGTCTAAGGCAAAGGAAAGGTTTTTTTTACTGTAAGAACAATAAGGATGTGGAATTTTCTGCCTGAAGAAGTGGTTTTATCAGAGTCCGTACAGATGTTCGAACAGCTGCTAGATGCATACTTGCAAAAACAGGATATTCAAGGATATAATCTTTCAATGTAGAGTACTAACTGCTTGATCCAAGGATAAATCTGACTGCCATTCTGGGGTCAAGAATGAATTTTTTCCTAGCTTGTTGCAAAATTGGAAGTGATTCAAACTGTGTTTTTGCCTTCTTTTGGATCGACAGCAAAAAACAAATGTGAGGAAGGCTGAACTTGATGGACGCAAGTCTCGTTTCAGATATGTAACTATGTAACTATAAATGCTCCCCCAGTCGGAAGTTCCCATCTCCTCAACGTTGTTTGAATAGCTGGTTCACATCCCAGGATCCCCCAAAGCCCACCACTAAAAAGACAGGGATTCCCACCCCAAAGGGTCTTCTTCCCATGAGCCTCTGTGCCTGGGAGTCCAGGTTTGTGAAAAAGAGACCATCCATTTGTCTCCCAGGCACAGAAAAGCCCGCCCGTGGGAAAAGAGCTGGTCTCTTTGTCACTCAGGCTCAGGAAAGCCGGCTAAACTCGTCAGAGCCCCAACAGTGCCCACACCAACCCTCACAACGGTCCTTTCATCAACTAGCCCCTGTTCACGAGGTCCCAGTGTGAAACCCAGACAAGGGAAGCATGTCCTTTCGGGGTATGAATGTTTCCCCTGGCTGGTGTTAGTCTATACGAATGGCGACCACCCAGGGGAGCACTCATGAATTACTTCCCTTGCAGATTTACACTTATGTTGCGAGTGCGAACGTCCTGATTAATTGGTGTGAACATTTTAATATGGCACTGGGGAGGTCCTTGTTCAGGAGACGAATGAGCCAGGAAACACCCACTAATGCTCCCCTGGCAGCGGCCACCCAGGAGAACACTCATCAATTGTTTTCCTTGCGGTTTTGACACTTATGTTGCCGAGGTGTGAACATTCTAAATTAGGTATCTGGGAGGTGAATGAATTACTTTCAGGAAAGCATTCCTGAACGGGGAGCGGGAACAATGAACGAAAATGCAGGGGAAACACGTGTAAAAGAGAAGGGAGATTCACGAACAGGTGGCTATTCTGCCACAGGTTTGGGTAAAATAACACCTGAACATATAAAAAGTAAAACAGTCTAAAGAAGCAGTATGTTCCACCACAGTGACCAAAACACAAGATGAATCTGGGGACCCAAATATAGTGTGTCTTCCATCCCCAGTGATGGTGACTCCCCCACAGGTAGACTAACCAGGTACCAGACCTCCAATCGGTCTGTGCCTGAGTTAATGCCAAAAGGTCCATCCATCCTGGCAGCCTTCTCAACAAAGTTCCACATAGTTTGTAAGTTTGTCCCTGTCGGGCACATGGAGTCCTCATAGAGAATCATTCCATGGATGTCTGGTTTGGGCCGGCTTCCCAGACTGGGCTTCCTGGTCACCCTGTGCCCCTAATAAGCAAGGGGGATCTGCCATGCCCCTTCCCAAACTCAAATCTATCCCCATATGACTCCACTCTCAGGGGGCTACCGTGACACCCACACACCCCAATAGCAAATCTGGAACCCTGTCTCTCTAGTCCAGGATAGTTTCCAGTATATTTCTCCCCCTTCGGAAGGATACCAATACAGGGGAGTTGACTCCGAAGTTAGTCAGTATATCTAGCCCACCAAGGCCATCACCAAATCGGTACCCAACACAAATTACCCATGCAAGAGGAGCACTCACCCAGCCGACCTCTGCATCTACTGAAGAATATACCTGCCGCTGGTGATGTGTGCCCACTGTCCTGTCTCAATTAATCTCTCAGCCACTGGAGGGAAGGCAGACTGGGCCACCTCTGACATAGGATTGGGGATGGAAGCTCACTGTCGAGCCTCCCCAGGGACCAGAGGTAGAGACCATAGTCCCATCCACCTATACTGGATAGAGATCCCCAGTGCTTGTGGAAAAGGGCTGAGGTTAGCGGTGCTTTGCCCGGGGATCAACTCTTCCTCAGGGCCAGCTGTATCTCATTCCTCAGGCTTGTGGGCTACCAGTGGGTTTGGGCAGAGGCAAGTGGCACTCTGTCCAGATGCCAGCGCTTCAGCTGGGGTGGTGGTGTACTCCACCAGCTCCACCATCACCAAAAGGCTGTCCTCCTCACTCTCAATTTACAGCGTTGCTGCAATTTGTGGGCAGAGGCCAGCTCTTCTGCTGGGGTTACACTTTGCCGCTGGGTAGAAAGACTGACCATCTCCTTTCCCTGAATTGCACTTTGCCGCTGGGGAGAGAGACTGACTATCTCCTCTCCCTGTAACTCACACCACCGCTGGGGACATACACCGACTACTTCTTGTCAAGGAATACCCCATCAGCTCCTTTCGGCTGTTTGGATTAGTTCTGTTGGTTATTTAGTCTAGTTTGTTTGGTTCCCGAACCGAGACCACCCCAGAAACCAATTAAAACATGGAACTTTATGTATCTTGTACGAAAACAAAATATAATAGAATGCTCCACTGGGTGGCCGCCATTTCGTACATACGAATGCATGTGGTTGGGACAATGGATGGCGGCCATCTTGTCTCCTGAATGCTGGCAGTGGGATGTGGTAGTCAAGTGCATGGAACTCATTTCAGCCAGGCACTCCAACGAACACCGGTCACCATGGACCTATGTCCCGTTCCAGTTCACCTAGACAAATACGTTCAGGAGTTACAGAATACTGAACACAGGGAGCATTTTACACAACCCAGCTTTCCTCTACCCCACGAATGGAGACTGGCTCTGGCCACAATTTCCCTTTAACTATTTTGAGCTTCAACCTCGTGGCAGACCGGACAAACCTTCCCTCCGATAGTGATCCAAAACTACCGAACGGGATATGACTGTAACAGGCCACTGCCACTAAGTGCCATGCCCTCTGAATATTCATACGGCCTTGTACTTTATGTTCCCAATGATTATTTTCATGTGTTTCCCCATGTATCTATATGTAATTGTGTTGTATTCGTGTTTTACCTTATCCCCGTTCAGGAGAGTTCCTGAACAGGGACCACCTCAACACCTAATTTAGAATGTCTATTTAGAACGTTCACACCTCATAATGAGGTGTGAAAACCACAAGCGACGCGTGCTTCCCCTGGGTGGACGCCGGTTCGTATAACTGAACACCAACCAGAGGCAGCATTCGTATCCCGAATTCAAACTTCGCACCTAAATCAAGCAACAACCAATAAGCTGAAACACGAGAAACCAAATCGTGCCAATCAGCTCGCAGGGAGAAGAGGGGTTTTGCCACCCAATTAGGCGAAGGGGCACAAAACTTGATTATATCAATTGGCGCTCGGGGAGGAGAGGAGTTTTGCCGCCCTATCCTGTCTCAGGTCCCCTTGTTAGGGACTGCCCTACCCGTTTTCCAACGGAGCTATGGTCACGGTTTCCCTCTGCCCGGGAGCTACGAGGTCTGGCTCGTGGCTGCCCAGGAGCGCTCTGTCTGGGGCTGCCTAAGTATAGGTAACTGCTGGAGAGAGGCACGAGCCCTAGTGGAATCCCTGGAGCTGTGAGTCTGCTACACAGCCACAGAAGTCCTGCTGGCCGCCTGGAAGTCTGTGCTGACCAATGGGAGAAGGAGCGCTCATTAAAACTGGGTTCACACCATTCTCCTGCTTGGTCAGCACGAGTGAGCGCTGACTGGCTGTTGCAGGATGCAGGCGACCAATCAGAGAAGGAGCGCCCGCTCAAACGGGGTTTTGCGCCATTTCCCTTGATTGGGCGGCGAAACCCCCTCCTTCCTGCGAACTGATTGGCCCGATTCTGTTCTGCGTCTTTCAGCTGATTGGTTGTTGCTTGGTTTAAGCATAGAAACATAGAATGTGACGGCAGATAAGAACCATTCGGCCCATCTAGTCTGCCCAATTTTCTAAATACTTTCATTAGTCCCTGGCCTTATCTTATAGTTAGGATAGCCTTATGCCTATCCCACGCATGCTTAAACTCCTTTACTGTGTTAACCTCTACCACTTCAGCTGGAAGGCTATTCCATGCATCCACTACCCTCTCAGTAAAGTAATACTTCCTGATATTATTTTTAAACCTTTGTCCCTCTAATTTAAGACTATGTCCTCTTGTTGTGGTAGTTTTTCTTCTTTTAAATATAGTCTCCTCCTTTTACTGTGTTGATTCCCTTTATATATTTAAATGTTTCTATCATATCCCCCCTGTCTCGTCTTTCCTCCAAGCTATACATGTTAAGATCCTTTAACCTTTCCTGGTAAGTTTTATCCCGCAATCCAAGCGCTAAGTTTGAATTCGCCAGACTAATCCAAGCAACTTCATGGAATTCTGTACAGGGGTGTACAGACCCTCGAGTCCCAGAATTTAGACGATTTCTTGGGCTCTGTAAATCCAATTTCCCCTGCTTTTTGCAGGGATCCCAGATGGGACCCAGGGTTATCTAGTGATGTAGGTTTTATCTATGTGACCCCTTCCCAAGGTGCTGAGCCACAAAGGACACCCCCCATATGTAATATGTTTTAATGTGTGCCCCTGTGTACTGCTGATATCTCCTAGTGCAAGAGAATGCGATCTGTAACCCAACCCCCTCCTGCCTGGAATTGTGTTGAACTGAATGGAGACCCACTCAGTGAATAAAAGCAATGTGTTCCAAATAAAGATTGTCATTGTTTTAACCTCCAGAACTTTTTTCCATCTGGTTACTGGAGGGACGGAAGATTTAACCCCTGTGTCCAGCTTGCAGGGGATGCAGCGGGGAAAGTCCTTGTAAGGACTAAGAACTTCTAGGACTGAGTGCCGTCCAGCCCTTAGTTTGGGGATGATAGGCGGATGAAAGTTTGCGTTGAATTTGAAGGGAGAGACACACCTCTTTCCAGAATTTGGACCTCACAGCAATGCTGGAGAAACTTGAAACCTCATTCCAGCACAAGATGGAGGGACTGAGTGCTAAAATCCGGCCACCGTGTACATGACTTGGAGGAAGACAGGGGGCAAGTACAGGCCCAACTTAAAATCCTGTCCAGCTGTTTAGACACCCACGAAACCCAAATGTCTCAGCTTCAAAGATCCCCTAACCCTGTAACAGTTCCTGATCGGCTGAAGGAAGGGAACTAGCGGAGGTAACCAGTCGGGTTACCAGGTTTCAAGCTACAATGACTTTTGTGGGGTTTCCCTGCATTTAGGGGGGTACTTTTGGGGTGTTTAACCCCTTAAGGACACATGACATGTGTGACATGTCATGATTCCCTTTTATTCCAGAAGTTTGTTATAATTTTCTGCCCCTGGAGATAATTGAGTTTGTACAGTTCCTGACTCCATTATCTCTCAGGTACAGAGGAGGATTTTACTGACTGTATAAATTTGATGCCTGTGCTTCCATTAAAACAGCCTTCTCCCGGGGGCGTGGCCGACCATCGGAGAAGATGGCCACATGTTAACTCGGCTCCGGCACCGCAGGCACTAAAACAGCAGGAGCACGAGCACCGACCAGCATGGGGAACCCCAAAAGGACCCAGGGCGCCCACACAGGTAGCGGGAAAGCACCCGAGAGACCGGGCTCGGTCTCTAAATTCTTCAAAGAGCATGCCGGCCACACGACGGAACACAGCAGTGTAAACATGGCGCCGATGGCGGGAGAACACCTCTTCAATCCGCCCAGCCCTGCAGCATCAGAGACCTCAGCAGCCTCAACAGAGTCCTGCTCCAAAATTTGCCCTCCAAGGCAGACCTCACAGCAATGCTGGAGAAACTTGAAACCTCATTCCAGCACAAGATGGAGGGACTGAGTGCTAAAATCCGGCCACCGTGTACATGACTTGGAGGAAGACAGGGGGCAAGTACAGGCCCAACTTAAAATCCTGTCCAGCTGTTTAGACACCCACGAAACCCAAATGTCTCAGCTTCAAAGATCGCTGGACGACATAGATAGCAGGGGGCGCAGAAATAATCTCAGGATCAAGGTCTTCCACGAAACCGAGGCGGAAGATATACAAGCAAAATTGCAGGAGCTATTCAACTTATTACTGGACTTCCCAGGGATGATATGCAACTCACCCCAACCCAACACGACGAAGACTGACCCAACCCGTACAGCAGGCCACAGGTACACCACAATGGTCCCCCAGTTGACCCGACCCATCACCTCGTCGCCTCAAGTCAGAAAGGCGCAACAGCAAAGGGCAACTCACGGACAACACCACCCAAACAAAAAAAGAGAGATTTAAAAAAAAGCCAAGCAGGGCCTGACACTGGGACATTGAACTACAGGCCGCTTCTCAACCTTACAATGAACTGCACGTTCACAACCTGTATACGAAGTATGTAGCACCTAGTGACACAGGCCAGGGTTTTTTTTTTTTTTTAAGGAAAGGGGTAGGAAACACAAACCCCTGACCTACTCTTGGGTAATCACAACACTCCAGCCCGGGAAACTGGGCTCCAACCTTTCCCTACACCTCACCCCATGGCACAACGACCGGACCTACGGTCATCATTAGCTCCAAACGAATGTGACAAATGCAAGTGCCTGCTTGCCCACCGACACATGCACGCCACACACCAACAATACAGCACATACACCCCTACAACCTTACTGACCGCACCACCACCGCCACACCTCACACATTCCCAGAGCCAGAGACGCATACGGACCCTCCCGCTGCGCGACTCCACTAAGGCTCCAGCATCTCAGCCACATCACCACATACACAAAATACAGATTCACTGTACATAGCTAAATCTGAAAACATACACTACTTGGACGGGGGAGACCCACGCCCCAGTCCTCTCTGGCAGACGTGTAAGACCAGAGCCTGTGTTTATGTTTAAGTTTGTATATATTTATATTTACGTTGTGCATTTTCCTTCCACGGTACAGGTTCACCACAAAAGGCTTCCACAGACAAGGTTACACCACAAACCGCGGTGTTCGGTCCTCGCAGCTCGGACGGGGGGATTCACCCATGAAGAGAGTGAGACTGACCTCTCAACAAAGTGGGTGACCACACCAATTCATCACTACACTACTAGCGCCACACCCGACATATGGCTCTAAAAATCGTATCCCTCAACGTCAAGGGACTAAACACCCCGAATAAACGCAGGCTTCTACTTAGAGACCTGAAATCACGCAAAACCGACATTGCCCTCGTACAAGAAACCCACATACCCAAAACAGCACCAACAACCCTAAGAAGCAGATACTTCCCACAGACCTACGAAGCTAGAACACTGCACAAACGCGCCGGAGTGGTAATACTAGTACACAAAACCTGCCCACTCCTAGTGACAGGGACACAAGCTGACCCAGAGGGCCGCTACATCGTTGTAACAGGCACGATACACAGCACAAAAATAAGAATCATTAATGTGTACGCCCCTAACGTACCAGACCCTACATACTGGGACACCCTCACATCAATAACAAACACTGACGGGGGGGGGGGATAACACTGGTGGGGGGCGACTTCAACGCTGCACCAAGTCCAGCCATAGACAGGAGCACGAGAACAGGCTCACCCAGGTCCCACGGGAGGGGTGCACAGGAAAAACTACTGCATACATTCCTCACCAACACACAGCTCTTGGACTCTTGGAGGCTCCAGCACCCAGATTCACGTGACTACACGTTCTACTCAGCGTCCCACGGCACATACTCGAGAATAGACCACATATTCCTTAACGGTGTAGGGATGTCCAAACTAGTGCATTCCGACATAGGCAGTATCACCTGGTCGGACCATGCGGATATATCGATCACATTAGACAAACTCAAATACTCTGCCTCTTGGACCTGGCGACTTAACACAAGCTTACTAAACAGCGCGCACTCTTATCACAGAATACTTTAAGCAAAACACCACACCGGAGGTAGACCCAGTGGCGACATGGGCGGCCCACAAAGCGGTCATGAGAGGACACTTCATAAAAGTGGCAACACACAAAAAGAAATGCAACACCCGAGCACTGATAGAATTTCAGGCTGCCCTACGAAAAGCAGAACAGCAGCACAAACATAATCCCACCACCGAAAAACTAGCAGAACTCACCGCACTAAGACACTCAATTAGAGGGATTCTGCTAGAAGGGGTCGCACACTCGATCCAGAGATCTAGGCGATTATTCTATGAAAAGACCAACAAAATGGACTCCCTATTAGCCAGAGCACTACGCCCCCGAGGGGACTACAAACCCATCACAAAAATACGCACGCTCACTCGGGAACTAGCAACAACTCCCCAACACAAACAGGGTATTCACAGAGTTCTACTCAAACCTTTACGGTCAGGCCCAACACCCACAAAGCACACTGGAACAAACACGGTCCTCATTGCGCACCTTCCTTGCCAGCATAAATCTTCCAGAGATAACAGATAGGGATGCCACAAACTTACAGGAACCAATCTCCCAATTAGAAGTAAAAATGGCCATAGCAGTCCTAAAAGGGAATAAAGCCCCAGGCCCTGACGGCTACGAGATAGGGTACTACAAGAAATTTTGAGAAGATCTGGCCCCCCACCTCACCTCTTTATATAACCACTTTATGACGGGCGGCGCAGCCGACGCCGACATGGCATTAGCCCACAATCTCACTCATCCCAAAACCAGGGAAAGACACTGAACTCGCATCAAACTATAGGCCCATCTCCCTGATCAATTCGGACCTTAAAATATATGCAAAACTCCTGGCGGCTAGGTTGGCACTGATGCTCACACACCTAATCCACCCGGACCAGGTGGGGTTTATCCCCGGTAGACAACTATATGAAAATACACGTAGAGGGGCGGTATCAACATGGTACATGCAGAAATCCGAAAAGCCCTCACTGGCCATCTCCTTGGACGCGGAGAAGGCCTTTGACAGGGTGCAATGGCCATACACGTTTAGCCTCCTGGAAGAGTGGGGATTCCCAGCCGCTTATATCCAGGCCATACGCGCTCTATATACAAACATGAGAGCTCAAACCCTGATTGCAGGGGCCACAAAGACCCCCTTCCACCCCCAGAATGGAACACGCCAGGGCTGCCCATTGTCGCCACTGCTACTCGCCATCTCCTTAGAACCACTACTGTAGGCTATACGCCAACACCCACACATACAAGGAATACGGGTAGCAGAGAAAACCTTCAAAGTATCAGCGTACGCAGACGACGTACTGCTGACTCTCACCGACCCCCTGACCTCCATGGGCCACATGACGGACCTGTTGGCCACGTATGGAGCCCTATCTGGCTATAAAGTAAACCTCAACAAATCCATGGCACTGCCATTTCACCTCCCAGCCCAGGATAGAGCACAAATATATGAAAGATATTGTCTACCCATCACTACTGACAACATGGCGCAACACGAACACCTACACGAGACTAACTACTCCCCACTGATTCGCACACTCCTAAGGGACCTGGAGCAGTGGACAGACAAACCCATCTCATGGCTAGGCAGACTCCACTCAGTCAAAATAAACTGGCTACACAAGAGACACAGAGCACTCCCCAGGATAACCTGCCCGGCGATAAACTCCTTAAGAATCTGGGATCAAATAGAAACTAAATACTCTTTAAGTAGGTTCCCCTCCCCAATGACCCCCGTGCTTAGGAACAGATCCTTCCCACCGGGAATGACGACAGGCGACTTTAGGGGCCTAGAGAAGGCAGGTATCCAGAGATACTGCCACCTATACAAAAACGGTCAAGTAGTCACATACGATCAGCTCAGGGAAGAATCCCCCCTAACAAACAGGGACTTTTTCCGCTACATACAGATACGAGATTTTGCTAGCTCCAAAGGTGTCAAGGAGACGGCAACCCTCCCCCTCACCTGGTTTGAGAACATTTGCTATCCGGAAAAACACCCCAAGGGACTTATCTCATCACTATACTCACACCTTAGCGGGGAAGCCAATGAGTGGGGGGAGCTCCGATACACGGACCAATGGGAGGCAGACCTGGGAGAGACACTGGAGGGCTCCGACTGGCAGGACATATGGGAGGCCACAGCATGATCATCCATATGTGTCACCCTCCAAGAGAAATCATTCAAAACGCTTTTCAGATGGTACATCACTCCACTAAAACAATTCCGCATGCAGATCACTCCCACTGATCTCTGTTGGCACGGGTGCGGGGAACAAGGCACATTAGTGCACATGTGGTGGAAATGCCCCTCAGTACAGGCTAATTGGGTTCGAATCACCAACCTAAGCTTGAACATATTGCAGAGACCCCTGCGGTTGGACCCCTGGGCCTGCCTCCTCTCCAGGCCAACAGATGGCCTCCCACGCCTAGAGCAACAATTGTTAAACATGATTTACCTGGCGGCCCGAAGGGCGCTAGCGCAGAATTGGCTCTGCCTGGAAACGCCCCCCATGGCACTAGTGATAGCTAAGATAAAGGATAACTACCAAATGGACAGGTTAACCTCTCTGGTCAGGCACACCACCAAAAAAATTGGCAGGACATGGGACCTATGGGAACAATACCAGGAGAATAGGGAGAATGGACAGGGGATTGTCATGCATTTTTGATACTCACCTCATAACTACTTATGTTTATGTCAGTATATATATAAAAAAATGTGCATTGTGTTCCCATGCCATGCCTTACCAAATTGATGTTCATTATCATATTGTGTGTACATGCTGTTGGGGCATGGCAAATGCATATGTAAATGCTTATTCTTTATGCACTCAAAAATAAAGAATTAAAAAAAACAAACAAAAAAAACAGCTTTCTCCCAGCATTAAGCTTTGGCTCATGTGTAAGAGGTTATGGAACAGATGTGATATTTGTGCCTTTGGATTTATTTGTGTTGTGTATGGGGAAAAGGGCATCCGTGGTGTGGTAGTCAAGTGCCTGGAACTCATTTCGGCCAGGTACTCCCGCGAACACCGGTCACCATGGACCTATGGCCCGTTCCAGTTCACCTAGACTAGAGATAATACCAGGTGAGGAGAATATGGTTCCTTCCACATCTACCTGACCAACATACTCAGATGTAAGGTCTATTAAATGCCCAATCTCTGGTACCTGTTGCTTTGCAGAGTAAAACAATTGCCTGTAATCTAGTTCAAACTCCCACTCCATGGTGGCCAGATGGGTCAAATCAGGGTTCAGATCAGTTGCTTCTAAGAGATCCAGTAGGTGTTCCCTATTTTCCCAAATGTCATAAAGCCATGACCTCTCCGGACTTCTGAATTCAATTTTATCCTCAAAGGCCTCTCACAACAGGCCTCACCCTCTGGAGAGTCATCATCCGCTAGAAATGGGAACTGCTGGACTGCATACCACCTTAAGGACCACACTCTGCATTTAGACACTGAACTGAATACATTGTTTCAATTAATCTCTATGAGGAAATGCTGATTGGCAAGAGCTGTGTTTGGCTTGTGCTGGGCTGGCCCTGCCCCTGGTCTGCCTCATTGACCAGCTCTGCCAATCCAATGCTTTCCAATGGTAAAGCATTGTGATTGGCTAATATAATCACTACTGATGATGTCAGCCAAGGAGGCAGATCAGGGGCAGAGCCAGCAGCAGACTTGAATAAAGGTAAGATTTTACGATATGTAGGGGTGCATGGGGAACCACAAGGAACCACTACCTCCTGGAGCCGAATGGGGAACTCGCTCTATCCACCCCCAGGCACTGGACAGCACTCAGTGATGGGAGCTCTAGTCCTTACAAGGACTTTCCCGTTGAATCATTCACACTAGAACAGTGATTAGCTCTTTCCCCTCCCAGTAACCAGACTACACAGTTCTGGGAGTACAAACTGGAATCCTTTAATCTGGCCAGATGGTTTGCTTTTATACAGTTTAGACACAGTCAAACATGTCCACAACACTCCCACACAAAACAGGATAATTCCTCCCCCTGGACCTGAGAGGAGACTAGTTACAAGCAAACATCTAACATACTCCTCCCCTATGCCTGAGAGATAATTACCTGAGCACACAAACATATAAGTGAATTATCTCTCTGAACAGAAACAGGCAATAAAACAAAAACCCCCAAATACCTCCAAAACACACAAAAACTCCACAAAAGTCACATCCACTGATCTGGGGTACCAACATTTCCAAAAATTACCCAGTGGTTCGGGATTTCCTTGGAAGCCATAATTTTGACCAACTGTCTACATCAGGCTTCTCCAAACTCCAGCCCTCAAGATGTTGCTGAACTACAACTCCCATGAATCTCAGCCTATATATTTCATTCATAGAATCATGGTGTGACAAACTACACTTTGCCACTGACTTTTGGAGAGGCTTGCTTGCCAACCTCTTGCCCTGTGACTATGGCCCCTGAGGTGTATTGCCATTTAAAAAGTCTATTTGGGCTTATTGGATTGCAAAACACTTTTTTTTGACCCTTTAAATCCATGGGAAAATGTGCCTCTTCCCCTCCCCCTTTTTCCTGTCCTATTGTTTCTCCAGCAGGGCGTTGTCCCAGGGACACTGCCAGACGCTTTGTCCCTCCTCAATCTCTCATTGTGGTGTATCACCAAACTCTATAAATTATTATGTACGCATACACATATAAACTCTGGTCCGTCTACTTTAACAAATATTTATTCAGAGACAAAACAACAACATACAAATAATGACACACAATCTAACTAACTATACCAACAACAATAACAACTACATCTTATAAAATCCCACTCACAGTTCACCATGATAGAAATTAGGCCATGTCTGCTTAAGGGACTGCTCAGTAGCACAGCCAAGAAGGAACAGGGAGGAATGGAGAAAGGGGGAAGTGGTTATCTCTCTCCTGACTTGTAAAGGTATTGTATTACACAATTACCATTTCAAAGGGTAAAGCTTATCCCACTGTAGCTTGGTCACATGACCCCTGGTCACCATATTAGTTTGATGACAGAATGTCACCACACTCATCAGCCCTCGCTATTGTGGCGTGAGGACGTCCAGCGACGCTCTAGCACTTCCTGTGCTAGAATCCAGGAAGTGCCCTCTAGTGGCTGTCTAGTAGACAGCCACTAGAGGTGGAGTTAACCATGCAAGGTAATTATTGCAGTTTATAAAATCTGCAATAATTACACTTGCAGGGTTAAGAGTAGTGGGAGTTGGCACCCAGACCACTCCAATGGGCAGAAGTGGTCTGGGTGCTTGGAGTGTCCCTTTAAGCCAATTATCTCCAGGATAGAGGAGAAGATAGACTGGCCGCACAGCCTAAATCTGTGAACTGTTTTGGGCAAGAAAGCCATGCTTGCGGTTGGTGAGTTTTGGATATGTTGTTCACCCAGATAAGGGTTATCCAGGGATGTATGATTTATGGAGATATGCTGTTTTGGGGAGTTTCTGTGTTTTGGGGTAAAATCGTATATTTTCTGCCTGTGGTAATTAAGTTAGCCCATTGTGTTCAAGAATTATATCACAGGCAGAGGGGAGGGTTTGTGTGCCTTAGCTGGGAGTGCCTGACTTTACTGTACTGTGTTGATTGGCTGTAGTAACTTTGTGTCCTGTGTACCACGTGGGTGGTAACCTTGTAAGAAAATGTGTATATAAGAAAGATCTATATGCTCATTAAACCAGTTCTACTTGATCCTCAACTCACAGCCTTGACTCGTGTTTGGAGGGGGGAGCTATAATCACTACAGGGATTGCTATGCTCTGCATATTCCCTTAGCTTCACTGAGCTCTAGTAAGAGCTCTTGTTCCTGATCCTGCTTTGCTCTCTGGGAGGAAGAGAGGTTCCCCCATTGGAACCTAGTGCTTGGGGAAGCCTGGTCTGGCCCTTCTGAGTCATATAGAAACGAACGCAGGCGATGATGGAAGTCCAGCGGCGTTCAGGAGTTTCTGTGTCCGATTTTAGTTTCAGAAGATTTGATGCCCAAACACCGCTACCTTCGTTCGTGGGCATAAGATGGCTCCCACCTCGTGGTCGTTCCTACGAAATGCATCAACCCAGACTGGCTAGAAGTTGGACCATAGAAAGGATGCTCCTAGCGCTCACCAAATGACCATCAGCACCGTAGACACCATAAGCACTGCAGACTCAACGAACCGCTGCTGCTGGGCTAGGATCTCACCATCTGCTATCCACCCTGGACCTACGACCAGCCTCCAGTAGGTGAACCTCTTCCTTCTGTAGAGCGAAGCAGGATCAGGAACAAGAGCTCTTACAAGAGCTCAGTAGCTAAGGAAGTATGAAGAGCATAGCAATCATTGTAATGGTTATAGCTGTCCCCTACAAACATGAGTCAAGGCTGCAAGTTAGAGGGTCAAGTCATTCTGTTTACTGGCACGCACAGGGCTTTATTTTATGCAGGTTTCCCTTAGATAGGGCCAAAACAACCAATTATACACGTACATTACAGAAACACTCCCAGCAATTACATACAAAATCCTCCCCCTCTGCCTGTGATCTAATTATGGTACACAATGGTTTAACATAATTAACACAGGCAGGAAAAATACAGTTTTTACCCATACACTGTAACTTTAAAACTACACATCCAATCTTCATAAAAGTTACATATTATTAATCAGCAAACTTTAAATATAAACATAACCATAAAAAGTTAGACGGAAGTCCTTTATGACCGGCCGCAAGCACATTTTCCTGCCCAAAACAGTTCCATAGATTTGGGTTGTGCGGTCAGTTTATTTTAGGCTGAAAAAACGACTAAGTCCCATCGGGCAGCTGAAAGTTCAGTATGGGAGAAGGTACAGGCCAGCGGTGTTCATTGAAATGTGTAGCCGATTTTAGTTCCATGAATTTGGCTACACATACCGCTGACCTCGTGCAAATGAACAAAGATGGCCGCTGTCACGTGTTTGGCAAACGAACAAAGGCCACCCAGCATTGTCAATTAAGCTGCGGTTAATCAGTCAGGAGCTATCTTGCAATAAATGTCCTAAACTCCTTTAACAACTTTCATTCCTTACACCCCCCACCCACTCCGGGTAAGAATGCCCCTAAGTTGTCCAACATTATCACTTCATTACATTAAAACATTGTTGTCAGATGATTCAGTCGAATAAGTTTGTCATTTTGCACTCAAACAATCTCCATTACACTTATATATGTTGTCCTAATTCATATGGAGGTTACCTGTTACGGTTGTTCCCAGGCTAGCTGGAAGTTGGACCGCGTGGATGATCTGGATACCAGTGGTGAGAGCGAGAGAAGCCGCTTCAGTTAGAGGTCCAGAAGAATCCTGTAAATGTAGAACATTCCCACTAGCTATGGTACAGCTAGGATACCCTGTCCCCACAAAACGAGTCGAGGCTGCGATTTGAAGGTCAAGCAAGAACTGGCTTTAATGGCACACAGGGATTGGTATTTATGCAAAATCTCAGGTCCAGGGACAGCCTCCTCTGGACCTGATGGGATACAGGAATAATACAATGTATCAACCAATCAGAATAACATGCATCGTTTGAATTTGTTACCACCCAGCTTGGAGATAATGAGTCCAATGGATATAACAATATGATTATCTCCAAGCACCCACAATACCACGTTTTTATTACACATAACAAAAAGGTTAAAAATATATAGCTTCAACATTTTCAGCCATACTTCGGGACTTCCACCACTCATTCTATGGCTCAGCTTCAGGTGCAATAGTTCACGGAAGAGCGCTCCAAACCCACGAACCATATGCTTAGTTTCTTCGTTGCAAAGTCCGTTCGCATAGTTGGTTCTGAGCCGGGGATGGCGGCCATGTTTTTGGGGAAATCTATAGGCAGCGGGACCTTGGCATCAACCTCGTGGAACTAGTAACGGCCAGAGCTGTGCCCGAATCCCCGCTCTCTGGCTGGATGTTTCAGCTGTTCGGGAGACGAACGTAGACCGCCGTGAAGTGGCCCTTAACCTGCGGTTAACCGCAACATTCAACATTCTAATTGGGGCCACAAGCCAGGCTGTAGGTGGTCCCCGTTCGTGCCCCCCTTTCGGTAGTTAGGTTCGGGAAATAAGGCACAAACGTGGAGGCTCGGGCCGTCAATTAACCTGCGGTTAACCGCAAACCGCAGCTCTCTGGGCGATTAAGTGGTGGCACACTCCCCTCTCATGGTGGTCGGTCGTTCGGTGTTTTGAAAGGTGATCGAGGTCAAGTGGCGGCACACGCCAGGGGCCGGGTGGCCCGTCATTCGTTTGACGAATCGTAAGTGATCCGTTCGGGAGTTGGGTACAGAATTCAAGTACCGAAGCAATATTAATACAAGGAATCAACATAATGCTTGTCTGTCATGAGTTTGTAACATTGCCTATTACTGACTGCTAAAAATCTGTTAGTTAATTTACTTGATTGGCGTAATTTAATACTACTAATTAAGAGAAGACTAAATATATTTAGACGTCACCTAAAGGATATAATTTCCCTTCTAAAACAGCACCTTAATTTCAGGTTGCGGACGGCATTCTACCAGTAGACAGTAGCTGGTTCTTTATTGTCTCCTGCCTCTATCAGGTATAAACACTTTTCGTTCACATTTTCAATCAAGTGCCTCAACAAGGCCACGCATTTACACAATGGGGTATTAGGGTACAGGGGGCTTGATTCCCGCCTTGCCTTGACAAGTCACGGCTCTACTCATTAACACGTCGTACATTTATTCAAACTCACTATCTCTAAACAATCATCCTGTTTCTAACAAACCTTGCTCATTTCACCTTCCACTTTCAGCCACGTACTATCATGCTTTCATGGCACGACGCCTTCCTAAATCTCCTTGCAGGGTAATATAGTAGCTACCAGAGCTACTATATTACCCTGCACCCTTCAGCACCCTCAGGATCTAAGTATACAATACTGTCAGCTATGTCTCTAAGAACTACACGGTACTAAACATAATTTTCTCTCTCTCCTCTCACTCCACTACAGCTCCTTTCCTCTTCTGTCTTCTTCCTTTCTCTCCCTTCCTTTTTCTTTCTTTTCTAACATATTGGCCTCAAGGTTGCTTTCACAATCACATCTCGACATGCCAATACATTACATTACTCCCTCATCAAGCTCCCGTCTAGGGTCAGAGAACTGGCTATACAACGTAGCTGGTCCCGCGAGGCCAACCCCCCAATCTCAAATCGGAGATTCGCCCATCGGCCCAAATCATAGTTAGAGCCTCGCATTTACCCTCCTATCATCCTTCTATCGGGTCTATAGCGCCACCACGAGCCCCACGCCCAAATCTGACCAGCCGCTTGGCAACTAGCAGGGCCTCACTTGTCACGGGGTAGAGAGCTTTTCGCTTCGGCACTAGTTAGCCAGTCAGTTCTACATTTCTCAACCGTATTGTTATTAATCAGTTCATTGTTGTGATATTCTTTTTCAGTATGTCCCAAGAAGGCAACATCAGACAAGAACCATCCATCCCTAGCACAACCACTGAGAATTCTATGTTGGGGGACCAGCTCACAAGGAGAAATCTCAGACATTATAGGAGACCTAAACTCCATTCTGGCTACGCTTCAGTCCTTCAATAATAGACTGTCTAACTTAGAGAGCACCAGTCAGGCTCAGACAGGCCCTCCTCCCGTAGGGTCCATAAACACATTTACTCCCACCAACGTGCAAGGTTGGCCCCCCGCTTCACCTTTCACCCCCCCCCCTCACGTTTTGAGTACTCACACGCTAATTTGTGTTGATTTCAACACAGGCATATGTAGTTCTACCAACTGCGAATTGCTTCACGTATGAGCCATATTCCTCGGGGCTCATGTCAAAACCATCTTCCCGTATATATTATATCAAATGTCATGAGTACAGAGGGAAATAAGCTTTGTCGTCATGCATGAGTCACATCCGTCCCCACACATGGTGATTAAATCATTACACATGGGTTCCACGTTGGGTGGGGGGGGTCACTCCCAGTAGACACCCTATATGTTCCATTCTCCTCGGCTAAACACGTATCATGTACTGTAAACTACCAGCAATACTCTAATAAACAACTTCTCATCATTGATCTGCCTGCTCCTCATTCAGTCGCAACCTATGCCTTAACTCCCTCATATCATCCCCCTAATTCTCTCACAGGCTTCATGTCATAGGTTCATACCAATTATGGTACCATACAGTCAAGTCTCCTGAGGGTAAGATCGTGTGCAGTCATGAAGACGAACAAGTCCCTTCAGCAGGGAACTTGAAATTGAAAGACCTGCAATCATTGCCGGATTCTTGAACGTCACTTTGCGCACTATCCCGCTGGGCAGTTCGTTCAGTTACTGTTCTGCTCGTTACCAGGTCTGCCTGACGGAGAGAGTGCTATTAGATCCTCAGGCAAGACAGTCCTGGTCAGGTGGGGGGAGTCATTAGAACTCGGAATTGGGTTTCTGTGTTGATTCCAACCAACTCCCAATATTTTGTACAGATGAAACCACTATCCTGGGTTGAAGCATTTGAGGGATTACTGGCCAAAAGACACTCTGTCTCGTACCTCACCCAACTGACGAACACCCGAGCACAATACGCATTTCAATGTCCCCATCCGGTCGGCCGGCTATTGGGGCTTGACAACAAGTTATCACCTATAGCGTTATTCGCTTTCACTAAAGATACATACGACAGAGATGTGACATTCTTCCAAGACTCAGTGGAACACAACATCCACAAGCTTACCGTTCAAACTGTAGTCTATTATGCCACATTTTTTGCCACCTTTCATTCAAACCTTCATACAACAATTATCGCACTATACCAATCAGACATACAACAACACATTCTGACAAGCATTCCAAACCATACCTGTCTTCTTAAATGCATACCATAAGATATCAAGGTATAAATAATTGGTTCATCACTCCACAATAACATACATCCATAGATTGGAATTCCGGGCGGTATCAGACCCCCTAAACAGCATGTGTACCACACAAAACTGGTCTTAAACCTCTATGCCTTTAACCTTCCAAGGGTTCTGAGAGTAACTTCACGATCACAGCTAATCAAACTGGCAAATCATGTTTCCTCAAGGAAGATTTAAGAAGGTACAGACACTACCTCATGTCACGCCAACATCCAAACCAGACAATCAAGACACTTGATCTACTAAATAATCCCCTAACTACTTCTAAATGTGGTTCTACATTCGTACTCCTTGCATTAGATTAGGTTGGGACCCTGACTCCTATTTAGGACATCCATTCAATAAGTACCACATCCAGTAGCAGTATGCCGGTACACATAATAAATTAGGTTCACTGGAAATCAGCTACGTTATACAGAAACATTCCACAACGCATAAGAGGTAAGGCAAACGAATCTTATGGGATAATTATATTGCAATAAGTGTGTTTCTTGCATTTCCTTTTGCCCTCTTTTACAGGCCTACCCTCTACGTCGGTTCCGGCACACCATGCCGACTTAATTCCAATCACAAGGTATTTCACGATAACTATATTAACCAACCACAAGTTTAAGGCCGAAGGCCTGTATTTGTGGGAGGAGTTAGCGTTCCTATATAAACGCTACTCCGCCCTTCCTACCTTGCCTTAACGCACGCAGTTCACCCCACCCACCTCACCCTCTTATACAATCCATTTGGGGGGCCCTCTTTTACAGGCCTACCCCCTCCGTCGGTTCCGGCACACCACGCTGACTTAATTCCAATCACAAGGTATTTCACGATTGTGGCAAACCCAGCCACTTGGATTATAACCAGAGACTATACCTTTAAGGGTTGCCTATAGGTCTGGGGAGATATGTGCTTTTCGCTGTATGTTGTATGCTACATGTATTGTCTGAATTGCCTGTATTTGCCATCTGCCGAATGCAAATGGCGGTTTGTATGGGGATTTCCTTTCGTTTCACGAACGGCACTTTGGAGGGCCGTTCGTGAACCGAACGCAATACCCCTAATAGCCCACACACTTAGAGGCGTGTGGCGCTGGTTAACCGATTGCAACAATGTTGCAATCGGTAATTAGAGGCTCTCCTGGGTGGCCGTCGTTCGACTACCGACCATGCGGCGGTCGGCCATCTTGGATCATTTGTTCCCTCAGCGGTGCTAGGTCGTCGAGCGCATGGTACTAAAACGGCTACTCGACGGCACGAACACCGCTGAGCCTCCAGGACGTTTGGGAGTTTCGGGCCATTCGGTATTTTGTTCCCTGCAAGCAATCGGTTCTTTTTATATGTTTTATAAGAAATGTGTTTTTCGTGCAGCGTTCGGTTATTTTAGCTGGGATCTGAGCGGTAATCTCACGAATGATGTGCTCAGACCCCAGCTATCTACCGAACGTCCATTCGTGTAAATCCACCGTATATTCACAAAGTTATGGATTTTTGTGTAAATTGTCGGTTCTGCTGCACGAGGGGATAATCCACTGAACGGTGGGTTCTGGGAGGAGGACCCCTCTCGTGCAGCAGTGCCTGATGGGAGAAATATGCTGTAATGTAAGTCCCCCATGTAGTCCCCTCTGGGAGTGCCCCTGGGAAGGGACTCAGGAAACCCCTTGCATGGGGACTTGTATAAATTGTGCAGCCGAATTAAAGGATGTCAGTTGACTCTCAGAACTGTGTCTCGTCCGGTTACTGGGAGGTTGGGGATATTGCCTTGTTGTTTCAGCGCTTGACTGTGGATTACTTCCTGAACCAGCGGAATTTGTGGATTTAATATTGGCGTTCCGCTACAACGAACACAAATATAAGTATATAACTGTGTTTGAAATTCCCGAAATAGACTGACTGCACAGCCTAATTTCGAGGATCTATTTTGGGCAGGAGCCTCGTATGCGGTTAGTCTAAACTATACCCCGGCGGCATTTCGGCTATATTCATGGGATCTGAGTGATTTCGACATATGTTGGGCCAGGCTATCCGTTGATACAATACTGTTGATACAATACTTGTCCTGGACCAGAGAGGTAATGGAATTGTGTGTGCGCTTATGTTGCTGTCCCCTCTCAGGTCCAGTGGGGAATGCCCCTGGAATGTGTCACCAGAAACCCCTTGCATGGAGACTTGCATTAAAGGACAGCTGTGGCTCCCATTAAACCAGTTCCAGTTTACCCTCAAAACAGAGCCTTGTCTCGAGTCTGTAGGGAACAACGATAACAGCAATTTCACTACATTTTAGGATCATCGCTTCTAGGATCATTCCAGCTCTACTTGGATTGGGGGAAAAGAACATCTCTGGCGGCAAAACCCCTCTTCCCATTGGGTTGTCCGCCACAGGGCGTGTTCAAGTCGTGGAATTGCAATTCAAAATGCAAGTGACATGATGTGTCTGCAGTGAGTATTTCATGACACTGGGAGGGAGACAGATCACCCAAACCAGACAAAAAGAAAGAGCCACATACACATATTTGGAGACAGGTAAACATTATCATATACTAATCTGTTTTTAGAAGACACAAACTTGTAACTCAGAATATATCCAGTGCGGTTCTGGCTGATCCGAATAAGAAAATCGCCTAAATGCTTCTCAGTCAATAAATTCTCAGCTTCCCTAAATGAAGAGAAAAAAATACAAGATACAATTACAGCCAGAGCAGATTGTAATCTTTACTGTGTAAACAGATATACAGTATATTATCACACCGAGCGTTATACAGAGTGTGCTTATTACATAATCAGAGGGTACAGTGTATTATCATCAATAAGCGTTATACAGAGTGTGCTTATAACATAATCAGAGGGTACGGTGTATTATCACACCGAGCGTTATACAGAGTGTGATTATTACATAATCAGAGGGTACAGTGTATTATCACACCGAGCGTTCTACAGAGTGTGCTTATAACATAATCAGAGGGTACGGTGTATTATCACACCGAGCGTTATACAGAGTGTGCTTATTACATAATCAGAGGGTACAGTGTATTATCACACAGAGCGTTATACAGAGTGTGCTTATAACAATCAGAGTGTACGGTGTATTATCATAGAGTTATACAGAGTGTGCTTATAACAATCAGAGGGTACGGTGTATTATCACACTGAGCGTTATACAGAGTGTGCTTATAACAATCAGAGGGTACGGTGTATTATCACACTGAGCGTTATACAGAGTGTGCTTATAACATAATCAGAGGGTACGGTGTATTATCACACCGAGCGTTATACAGAGTGTGCTTATAACATAATCAGAGGGTACGGTGTATTATCACACCGAGCGTCATACAGTAAAGTTTTCTTTGTGTGTTACCTGCGAGATATCATGCCATGTAGCCATGGTGGGTATTCTCCGTCAGTTATCACCTTCTGGGCTTGCGTGTCTCGGAACCAGAGCAAAGTTTTGCGTCTCTGCATCATCTTCTTCTCTCCGTCCTTTGCCTGTGACGCACTGCGACGATCCCGAGTAATAGCAGGTTTCGGATTATCAAATGGAGAGAGCTACAAGAAACCAAGTGCGATTTATCAAACTAAAAATGGATCAATATATTTATCCAGACATTAGGAGTATATTATTCTGTTCCCCAGTGCAAACCCTCAGCATCATGAAGATTTTTGCTTAAAGAGCATATAGACAATATATGGAAGAGGGCACATTTTTCCAGGTCACATAGTCACATGACGCAAAAAGCTGCTGGACTCGTGTTAAAGACAGTTGACTGTGCCTGGAGATAATTTATAGAGACTATCACTAGATCCCTCCAACACTTTGCAGAACATCTCCTTCCATGTAGTCTATTTCTCTCGAAGACCAATCTTACCACTGTGCACTGGAGGAGCCTGGTTGTCCGCCTGCTGCCTTTAGACTATGGCCCCATGTTGAAACGCTTGATTTTCTCCTGCAAAGACACGAAAGCCGGGCCATTCGGTGCTTGCCCTGTTTGAGCGGTGATACCCCAGATAGCTATGCCATGGAGCCCATTCGTATAATGAAAGACTTTGGCTCCATGGCAATTGAACTGTATGTGTGTGCTCTGAGTGCCATTCAGTAATAATGTGCGCTCAGATCTGAGCTATCTGGGGATATGTTGAATGTACCTGTTTTGTGCAATGGCTGCACAGTTATATATTTTTATGTGTTTTATTGTCTTTTGCTGCCATGTGTTCAATGGAGTTTTGCCTCTGCCCTTGGAGATAATTGGATTACTTCCCGATTATCTCAATGATAGAAGACTCTGTGGAACTGGTTTTGGGCAAAAAAGACATGCTTCATTTGGTCACAAAGGACTACAATCTATTTTTTGAACCACTGGACCAATTTGTATGATTCTGACGTATGTTTGTATTTGGAGTATGCTGATTCTGAAAATGTAAGTTATACGTGAATGTGATGCATACTTTTAAAATTATGAATAATGTGGAAAAACTGTATTTCTCTGCTGGTGATAATTATATTACCCATTGTGTAAGGTAATTGTATCACAGGCAGAGGGGAGGATTTTGTGTGGGAGTGTCTGAGTGTATTGTATGTGTTTATTGGTTGTTTTCCAAAACCCTATGGGTGGTACTAATGTGTAAGAATGTGTATATAAGAACAATAAACCCACGGCTCTGTCTGTTCCTGCTTGACCCTCAACACAGAGCCTTGTCTCGTTCTTGGGGGGATTTATTGTATGCTGTTCCAGTTTGACTGCTAGGAGTGTAAACCTATTCGTATGGTTTTTCCTATTCGGCAGTTTACAGTATTCGTATGTTTGAGAGCATTCATATGCTTCTCCGGTTCGGTGTATGGGTGTCTACAGTAGCTGTGCCTGTGTCTCTGGAAGGGAATATCTACTAAACGGCTTTTAACCCTTTTTATGCCTGGGGGTGCCGTTACACTACTTGTCTCCAATACCCATTCTGCAAACCATGCATCCTTCCTCCTCTGCACACTCGGCAGGTCTCGCCTTCCCCCCACACTCGGCAGGTCTCGCCTTCCCCCCACACTCGGCAGGTCTCGCCTTCCCCCCACACTCGGCAGGTCTCGCCTTCCCCCCACACTCGGCAAGTCTCGCCTTCCCCCCACACTCGGCAAGTCTCGCCTTCCCCCCACACTCGGCAAGTCTCGCCTTCCCCCCACACTCTGCAAGTCTCGCCTTCCTCCCACACTCTGCAAGTCTCGCCTTCCTCCCACACTGGGCAAGCCACCTCTCGCGCCACAAAGTCTGCAGACATACTTCACAATGTACCTCGATAAGACGGCTCCTTGGACGTGGTACTGGTGGCTCTATTAAAGTGGCTTCTGACACAGAGCAAGGCTTAGCTGGGGGAGCTCGTTTTCGTGGAATGGGAACTGGACGGCTGGCAGACCCTAAATAGTAGTCAAACATTTAATAAGGAAACAAGCTCATTCCAGGCATGTGGCTACGTCCTGCAACCAACTGCCACAAACTGATGACAATGAGGTACTTACGGGCTTCCTGTTCCTGCTGTCTCTTGTGTTCCCTCTCAGCCTCCTCCTGAGCAATTTGCTTCTCTTGTTGAAGTTTCAGGTTTTGTAGTAGCTTTCTGTATTTTCTGCGGCAGCACAAAGTCTTGTAACCTAACATGGAAGAGAAGAAAATGGTTAAGAACTTGGGGTCACTGCATTAATTACAAAGTTAAGCGGTGGATAACTGGAATAAAGATAATTTAGAAAATAAATAAAATGTTCTTGCATTAAAACGGCTGTGCTGAAATGTGCTGGCTGTTTACACTCATTGCCCAGTAACTGGGTTAATGCTCAGAATTTGGGATTCCTCCTCTCCTCTTATTTTGATTGCTTCTGAAATACATAATTTGCAGCAAGCTCTAAATTGTTTTACCTTTCAGCATAAAGTCATTGTCATCTGTCCTAACCAATTGTTTTACTTTCTCATCCTTGACCTTGTCCTGGTGTTCTCTGGTGGATGTACGCATCTCTGGGACACATACTAGTGCATTCTCCTGGTGTTCTCTAGTGGGTGTACGCATCTCTGGGGCACAGAGCAGTGCATTCTCCTGGTGTTCTCTGGTGGATGTACGCATCTCTGGGACACAGACCAATGCATTCTCTAGTGGATGTACGCATTTCTGGGGCACAGAGCAGTGCATTCTCCTAGTGTTCTCTGGTGGATGTACGCATCTCCAGGACACAGAGCAGTGGATTCTCCTGGTGTTCTCTGGTGGATGTACGCATCTCTGGGACACAGACCAGTACATTCTCCGGGACACAGTCCAGTGCATTCTCCTGATGTTCTCTAGTGGATGTACGCATCTCTGGGATACAGACCAGTGCATTCTCCTAGTGTTCCCTGGTTGATGTACACATCTCTGGGGCACAGAGCAGTGCATTCTCTAGTGGGTGTACGCATCTCCGGGGCACAGAGTAGTGCACATTCTCCTGGTGTTCTCTGGTGGATGTACACATCTTTGGGACACAGACCAGTGCATTCTCTAGTGGATGTACGCATCTCGGGGGCACAGAGCAGTACATTCTCCTGGTGTTCTCTAGTCTATGTACGCATCTCCAGGACACAGAGCAGTGGATTCTCCTGGTGTTCTCTGGTGGATGTACGCATCTCTGGGACACAGACCAGTACATTCTCCGGGACACAGTCCAGTGCATTCTCCTGATGTTCTCTAGTGGATGTACGCATCTCTGGGATACAGACCAGTGCATTCTCCTAGTGTTCCCTGGTTGATGTACACATCTCTGGGGCACAGAGCAGTGCATTCTCTAGTGGGTGTACGCATCTCCGGGGCACAGAGTAGTGCACATTCTCCTGGTGTTCTCTGGTGGATGTACACATCTTTGGGACACAGACCAGTGCATTCTCTAGTGGATGTACGCATCTCGGGGGCACAGAGCAGTACATTCTCCTGGTGGATGTACGCATCTCTGGGGCACAGAGCAGTGCATTCTCCTAGTGTTCCCTGGTTGATGTACACATCTCAGGGGCACAGAGCAGTGCATTCTCCTGGTGTATGTACGTATCTCTGGGGCACAGAGCAGTGCATTCTCTAGTGGGTGTACGCATCTCCGGGGCACAGAGTAGTGCACATTCTCCTGGTGTTCTCTGGTGGATGTACACATCTTTGGGACACAGACCAGTGCATTCTCTAGTGGGTGTACGCATCTCGGGGGCACAGAGCAGTACATTCTCCTGGTGTTCTCTAGCCTATGTACGCATCTCTGGGACACAGAGCAGTGCATTCTCCTGGTGTTCTCTGGTGGATGTACGCATCTCTGGGACACAGAGCAGTGCATTCTCCAGGTGTTCTCTGGTGGATGTACGCATCTCTGGGACACAGAGCAGTGCATTCTCCTGGTGTTCTCTGGTGGATATACGCATCTCTGGGACACAGAGCAGTGCATTCTCCTGGTGTTCTCTGGTGGATGTACGCATCTCTGGGACACGGAGCAGTGCATTCTCTTGGTGTTCTCTGGTGGATGTACGCATCTCTGGGACACGGAGCAGTGCATTCTCCTGGTGTTCTCTGGTAGATGTACACATCTCTGGGACACAGAGCAGTGCATTCTCCTGGTGTTCTCTGGTAGATGTACACATCTCTGTGTAGCTACAAATATCCATCTCTCTATCTATCTTAACTGTTCATATAAGGGTTGATTTAAACTTAAAATAGTATCTTCGATTCTGGGAAGAATTTATCTGATATCATTTACGAGAATGACCATACTGATTTCAAAATGTTCTTGTTAATTGTCCAAGATTTTGGTATTTGTAAATATGTTTTTTTATCAAATATACATGTGTTATATAACGTAGGATAACGAGAAACAGCTGCTCATAACTTGTGAAAAACAATCCAAGTCATTAATCATCATTGTCACGCCCATATGCTCATTTTTCCCCCTCCCATCCTGCCATGGAAACGGGGTATAAATATAACTGACATATATAATAAAATTTGAATTGGTTATTGAACACGTCTCTGCTATTCATTTCCAATTTCCAGAGCTCTGAATGAGTTGGCAAATATCCATCATCCACAAAGGGCCCGGGCTGATTTTATCCCCAACACTCTGGGGCACAGAGCAGTGCATTCTCCTGTTGTTCCCTGGTAGATGTACACATCTCTGGGGCACAGAGCAGTGCATTCTCTAGTGGGTGTACGCAACTCTGGGGCACAGAGCAGTGCATTCTCCTGGTGTTCTCTGGTGGATGTACGCATCTCTGGGACACATACTAGTGCATTCTCCTGGTGTTCTCTAGTGGATGTACGCATCTCCGGGGCACAGAGCAGTGCGCATTCTCCTCGTGTTCTCTGGTGGATGTACACATCTTTGGGACACAGACCAGTGCATTCTCTAGTGGATGTACGCATCTCTGGGGCACAGAGCAGTGCATTCTCCTGGTGTTTTGTAGTGGATGTACGCATCTCTGGGGCACAGAGCAGTGCATTCTCCTGGGGTTCTGTAGTGGATGTATGCATCTCTGGGGCACAGAGCAGTGTTCTGTAGTGGATGTATGCATCTCTGGGGCACAGAGCAGTGCATTCTCTAGTGGGTGTACGCATCTCTGGGGCACAGAGCAGAGCAGTGCATTCTCCTGGTGTTCTGTAGTGGATGTATGCATCTCTGGGGCACAGAGCAGTGCATTCTCCTGGTGGATGTACGTATCTCTGGGGCACAGAGCAGTGCATTCTCCTGATGTTCTGTAGTGGATGTGCGCATCTCCGGGACACAGAGCAGTGCATTCTCTAGTGGATGTATGCATCTCCGGGGCACAGAGCAGTGCGTATTCTCCTCGTGTTCTCTGGTGGATGTACACATCTTTGGGACACAGACCAGTGCATTCTCTAGTGGATGTACGCATCTCTGGGGCACAGAGCAGTGCATTCTTCTGGTGTTCCCTGGTAGATGTACGCATCTCCGGGACACAGAGCAGTGCACTCTCCTGGTGTTCTCTGGTGGATGTACGCGTCTCTGAGAAATGGAAAAGTGCATTTTTCTGTTCCCAGATAAAGCACAAATTGAAACCAAACTTTTTTAACCTTCACAGAAATTTTAAGAATTTGAACAGAAAAGGTAGAGGAATACAGAGCCACATTTATAAAGTACAGATCGACTGATTGTAGAATATAAACATTGTAGAAAATCCAAGCTGGGTAGAGCTGACAATGTTTCCACACAATTATTCGCAACTGGTTTCTCAGGCACCAAAGTTATGGATATGAAATTAGCTCTGAGATTCATTATTCACATGTAATTAAATTAACATTTCTATTTTGTAAAAACATTTTTATTGATTATTCTCAATATGAAAAAGGTTTTCATTGCGTTGGTACTACAGGAAGCAAACTATCAGCAGTTTCTTGGAACGTGATTTATATGACGTTCATATATCGATAAGCTTGTTAAATTTAATGTTTTTAACCTTTACTGCTTGGTTCAATTTCTGGAGCTCATTCTATGGCACCTCTTGCATAGGTCAGAGGGTATAGCAAACTGAAGACACTGTTGGAGATGCAGTATTAGACAATGGGCAATAGCACATTACTCAAAAAGTGATGCACATTCTAGATTGGCCAGAGATGGGTGGACTGGTCAGTACTAGTCTGTGCTCCGCATTCTATACATTCCAGGCTGTGCATTCTATAGTGGCCGAAGGTGGACATTCCAGGCTGGCTAGTGCTGTGCATTCTCTACTTCCTAATGGTGGACATTCTAGGCTGGCCAATGGTTGACATTACAGACTGGCTAGTGCTGTGCATTCTATACTGGCCAATGGTGGACATTGCAGATTGGCCAGTGGTATGCATTCTATACTGGCCAATGGTGGACATGCCAGGCTGGCTAGTGCTGTGCATTCTATACTGGCCAATGGTGGACATTCCTAGATGGCTAGTGTTGTGCATTCTACACTGGCCAATGGTGGACATTCCTGGCTGACTAGTACCATTTCGCGAACGCACGTGGCTGGCAGCTGGACTTGGTAGTCGAGTGCCTGGAACAAAT